GAGAGGAGATAAAAATGAGAAATGAAGAGAGTGAAATGAAATGAAATGTAAAATGAGAATATAAAATGAAAATAAAATGATAATGAAAAATGAAATGAAATTGAATATGAAATGAAAATGAATAATGAAATGAAAATGAAAATGAATAAATGAATGATCGAAATGAAAATTTAAATTCCAAAATCGAAAATGGAAATAAAATTGGAAATGAAAAATGAAAAGGAAAATGATATGAAGAATGAATATGAAACATTAAGATCAATTAATGATAATGTAAAAATGAACCCATATGAAAATGAAAATGAAACATGAAACACTGAAAAGAAAATGAAATTAAATAAAATGAATAAATGAAATTGAAATGAAAATGAAATAAAAATGTAATGAAATTGAAAATGAAATGAAAATGAAATGAAAATGAAATGAAATGAAAATGAAAATGAAAATGAAATGAAAATGAAAATGAAATAAAAAGAAAATGTAATGAAATTGAAAATGAAATGAAAATGAAATGAAAATGAAATGAAAATGAAATGAAAATGAAATTGAAAATGAAATGAAAATGAAATGAAAATGAAATGAAAATGAAAATGAAAAAAAAGAAAATGAAATGAAAATGAAATGAAAATGAAATGAAAATGAAATGAAAATGAAATGAAAATGAAATGAAAATGAAATGAAAATGAAATGAAAATGAAATGAAAATGAAAATGAAAATGAAAATGAAATAAATGAAAATGAAATGAAATGAAAATGAAAATGAAATGAAAATTAAATTAAATGAAAATGAAATGAAAATGAAATAAAAATGAAAGGAAATGAAAATGAAATGAAATGAAAATGAAAATGAAATGAAAATGAAATGAAAATGAAAATGAAAATGAAATATATCAAAATGAAATGAAATAGAAATTAGTCAAAATGAAAATGAAAATGAAAATGAAATGAAAATGAAAATGGAAATGGAAATGAAAATGGAAATGAAAATGGAAATGAAAATGAAATATATCAAAATGAAATGAAAATGAAATGAAATGAAATGAAATGAAAATGAAATGAAATGAAATGAAATGAAATGAAATGAAAATGAAATGAAATGAAATGAAATGAAATGAAAATGTAATGAAAATGAAATGCAAATGGAAATGAAATGAAAATGGAAATGAAATGAAATGAAATGAAAATGAAAATGAAAATGAAAATGAAAATGAAAATGAAAATGAAAATGAAAATGAAATAAAAAGAAAATGTAATGAAATTGAAATGAAAATGAAATAAAAATGTAATGAAATTGAAAATGAAAATGAAAATGAAATGAAAGTGAAAATGAAATGAAAATGAAATGAGAATGAAATGAGAATGAAATGAGAATGAAATGAGAATGAAATGAAAATGAAATGAAATGAAAATGAAATGGAAAATGAAATGAAAATTAAAAGAAATGAGATATTGTCGTGTAGACATTAGGTAAAAACGTAAAGAAAAGGACTTTGTTTTCATGTGGAGTCGTATTCGTGTTGGCTTGACTTAAGGCTCAAGCAGATCTTTTAATTTTTCTGTAGTTTCTTAAGATTCGAAAAATATCAAGAAGGATATTTTTGTCAGCTTTTATTGAAAAGCTTTCTTGTTATGCTATTAAAAGGGTTTTGGCGGTAAAAATGCTAGTTTAAGAAATATATATCTATTGTTGTATTTCGATGTAGCCAGAAGTAATTTATGATTATTTTCAATTGAAGAAAAGTTGCCTGAACAGAACAATTTAAGACTGCATTAAGCGCGAGACTCGGAGTAGCAACTTAAAACCTTCCTCTTCTTTACACTAAATTGCGTGTACAGATCTGCCTATACTTTTTAAAAGCACTTTGTGACAGACCGGTAAACAGTGATTTTCATTAAGAATGTCTTCAAATATCTACTGCCTGTTGTATTTAAAAGGATGGAATTCACCGAATGATCATCAATTGTTCAATTTTTACAGAGTGAAAAAGACATCCTGCGATGTTCTCACATCCAAAAGGAGCTGATCTTAGCGGCAATCGATTCATGTGATGCAAGATCGAAAACTGGAGGGTATATTGTGTATTCTACGTGTTCCGTCATGGTACGTGTTTGAGTGACCACACTTAAGTGTTTACTTTGTCTTCACTTTTGAGACATTTTACCAACGATGATGTCTTAATAAAGTTTATGCATCGGAATCGTTGTTAGATCTGAAATATTTTCCAAGATTATGCTCTAAGAGTCCTCTCAAAAGAAATGCTTCAGGCTCAGTACACACAGTGTCTCAAATCGGGCTTTAATGGACGGCCTTATAGAATTTCGCGTCTTATTTTTATGTAACTGGGAAATATTTTTTGTTTATAATGACACTGATTTTGAAATGTCGCTAGTTTTTAAAAGAGACTATGTTAACATACATAAGGTGGGCAAACTTATAGCAGGATGCAGATATTGTTTGTGGCTAAAAACTTTAAAATGGCTTTTATCAGGCAAATATTTTAGAACATCCACTGGCTTTTCTGACCTCGTCTTCAGAGTATAAGATGACAGAATAATAATCGAAAATTCTAATCGAAATCGAAAAACTATGAAAAAATATACCCAGCTTTTGATTGAAATATTCTAATCGGAAACGCGGGCACATGACTGTCGAGTTTGCCCAGTCAGCCCCACTTGCCTTTTGAAAATATTTCAATTGGAGTCGAACGGTTGAAACGAGTTCTGAACTATAGCGGTTTTTTCATGTTTATGTAGATAGATTCCAAAACTGCTAGATGGGACGGATGTCGCCATTATAGTTTGTTGCACAATCTGGGTTTTCCAGTAAATTCTGCCCAGCGGCAAGATCATAACGAAATGCATTGATATACCCTTTTATAAGAAAATGATGCAATATTAATCAGCGGTGAAACACATAACTGTATGTTGACATTTCGTTTATTTGCGCCAGAAATGTGGGTACTGCCTCATTCTTACCTAATACAACTCATTTTCAGTTGCTTTGATTGAATGTGGGCACTTTAATATTTCTAGGTTGAAGAAAATGAATGGGTTATTGACTACGCCTTGAAAAGACGATGCGTAAAATTGGTTCCGACTGGACTTGATTTTGGTGAACAAGGCTTTACCAAGTATGTCAATTTGTTTCTTAATTATCTTAATGATTGTTATTTGCTAATAGAACCTGACACAAACAATACACAACTTGCTTTCTGAGGCATCTCAAGTATAACACAATCTACACTTTCTGCCAATAGCCCTTGAAACACCCCCGTTGCTCAAGTGTTGATTTGGAAATTCACTTTTTCGGTAGAAAATACCGTCACTGCACCACCTATTCTCCAAAACTTTCTTGGTTGTAGAGTTAAGCTGAATATAATTGCTCTTTGTGACATCATCCCATGATAGGAATCTATTGAAAAACACCGAAGCTCTGAATATTCCATAAACAACATGGTTCAAAATTTAACATGTAATTGCAGTTTTATAGACATGCATAGAACATAAGTTGGGTATAACATTCAGGGGTGTCGCAGATTCTCTACGCCGAACGTGGTTTTAAAGGGACACCAATCGACCTCGAATAGAAATCATGGTTTTGAGAAAACGAGACAAGTCAGTGATTGGATTCTTTGTTACGAACATCGCAAAGCAGGCAACTTATGAAAAATGGCAGAAACATGCAAGTTGAGGCTGACCAAAAATTCGCAAAATATCATTAAAAAAGGCGGCATCATCCCATGACTCGTTGCGATTTGACGCGTTTGCATTTATCTTTTTGCCTTGGCATTTCTCGGCATTATTTTTTTGGCATATCTACATTTGAAAGAATGAAAAGCTTCAATTTATAAAAATTTACCCAGACTTTAATTTCAAAATGGCATGACGAAGCTTTGGTTGTTATCTGATGTTTTCTATTCGGAGGAACTTTGGCAGTTTGAAATTTCGCTGTATGAAGTTTATTTGCCCAAATATACAAGATCCCCCTTTCAAGACTGCAGTTCCTTGAGCTCAAATATTGTCTCTAAACTCCCCACCCACCTAATGTTGCTGTGCTACTCCACCAGGCTGTTTGTCTTTCATCTGCTGTTTTATCCTTGCAGGTTTAGAGAACGTAAATTCCATCCTTCACTCTCTCTAACACGTCGATTCTACCCTCATACTCACAACATGGATGGATTTTTTGTGGCCAAGTTGAAGAAATTCTCAAACAAGCTTCCCACAGGTAATATTTTCCCTTGTATTTTCTTCCATGTTTTCTTCTCCCTATCGTGTCCTTGTCGTCTACATGTTCATTCTCCCGAATACATCCCGTATGCGCCCTCACAGCTTCCAAATGTTTCTATTAATATCATATTTCATTTAAAATGGCTTCTCTTTTGCTATTTGCGAAAATCAATAAAACGAAGCTTCCATAAAGTGGACACATTCGGGATCAGACTGCTGTCAGTTGAACAGAGGTCTCTTGATTGGCCTAGCTGTTTCAACAAGATTTTGAAACAAACTCATTTTACCGTTGTTTAGAAGTGTCTATTAAGGTTAAGTTTTCGGCAGTATAGGTTTCTGTGTATCCCGTTCAGAGATGAGAGTTTCAAAATTTATTTTTAACGTTTATTCTCAGTCCTTTGTTTATTCTTAGTTGGAACACAAGAGAAGGATCAAGAAACTGACGAAGAAGTTTCAGATGATGCCGCAACGACTGGAGATCTTGAGAAACTCGAAAAAACCTCCAGCCCTGTGGATAACAAGGAACCTGTTAATTTGAAGGAAGAGGAACGCTCAAAGAAGCAAAAAAGTCCACAAAAGGCGAAAGGTTCAAAAAAGACAGATAATTCAGAGAAAGATAAAGATGCGAATGAGCCTGGTGAAAAATTGAAGAAACCGATCAAGAAGAAAAACAACAAAAGAAAGCAGGATAAAGTAACGAACGCTAAGAAAAGAACAAAAAAGAACACGAGTAAACGAAGCAAGCAAGATATTTAGGCCTAACGGTGATAATTTTGTTGACTGTAAAAAGTCACGTTTTCTCAACTGCAAGTTTTTTAGTAAGTTACTTGAGGCAGTTATACGCGTCAAGAAATTCAATTTCGGTTCTTCGCTTTCATTAATCAAGGCATCTAAATTTATCAACGATCATTGCGCATGATCTTATAACCTTGAATGTTTATCTCCTTATCAAGAAGAGACTCCTTATCAATATTTCCTTGGCCGTTACTTTCTCGACAACCCTATTTGATATCTGCCCTTTTGTAGTAAGAACAATTAACATTATGCAGTTGTAGATATTACTTGACTTCTTTTAAATTCTATGTGTTTTAGATAACAGATTTATACACACAGTAAGTTTATAATGAATCGGGTTTATCAATTTCCTGATGAATTTTTTCGCGTCTCCTCTTAGAAGCCTCTGAGATTCTGATAATACCCAGAATGCATTGTTCAAATTGGCGATAAATAGAGCGCAGAGTTAATTGATTTCTCAGTTTAAAGTACCCTGGGTTCCAGAGCGTTAAGTGGGGCGTTGGGAAAATAGGGCGTTGCGGGAGAGTGCGAAGGAGGAGAAAAGAGAGAAAGGGAACGACTCTTCCTTTCTCCTTTCTTTCCTCCTCCGCACACTCCCTTAACGCCCTATTTTCCCAACGCCTCACTTGACAGGAACTTCTAGACATTTCCTTTGTGGAAGTTTGTTAACATTCTTAAACCTGCCAGCAAAATGCTTTGGATGTGCCGTTGTCATGTCCAGCAACACTATTATGTGATATTTTGTTTTTTTTTTAATATTCGATTTACAGATCACATCACAAACTCCGGGTTTCCCACATTGAACATCGGGTTTCCCAAGATTATGAATTTTTTGGGTTCGCTCAAAAACAGGAAGTGTGACATGAATAAAATTTGATTCAGAATTTAGTCACTTATACAATTTGCATGTATTTATCTTCATAATTGAGGATGTATTGGTGATAAAAATGGGGTGTATTGGTCACAATTGACTCGTCATGGCTTGTTAAGATTTAAAGTCGTAATTTCTTAAAGCCTTTTTTATAGTTCTCAACAAATTGATGTGACTTTTACTACCTGGATTTCTATAAGAAAATTTTAAAGGATTTGGTAAACTGATAGGGGGTAAAACAAGTCATTTTTTTTAATCATTAGGTTGTTTCTGATATCATACTGCTTTACCATGAAGTTCGTAGATCATTTTTATAAAAAGTAGATTAGTCTGAAAACTTGTCTTATTTATTTAAAAAGGTAAAAGCAAAAGGGGACCTGTTAATAATGATGACAGGTCAATTGTTGATAATAATTAAGTAGAGACATAAATAATGACGGAAATGCGATTTTATACAGAGAACTCGTTCGGAACCAACTAGCAATTTATTTTATGCAGTCAGGGGCGGATCCAGAGCAAATTTGAAGGATGGGCAGTTGGTAGTGGGGGCGCTGAAAAATTTTCAAAAATTGGTTACGAGAGTACGCTGTATACAACAATTTCGGATACCTTTTCAGAATAAACAACATAACTTTGAGCTAATCCTTGAAGCAAATTAACCTATCGGTCCAAGAACCTTTTTCATCTGATTCTTATTCTTCAAAAGGGGCGCACAATTTCCAAAAAGGGGCGCCAGACATGCTTCAACTCGTTGAGGGAGGGGCAACTGCCCCTAGTTGCCCCCCTTAAATCCGCCACTGTATGCAGTGCCTTTTCTTGATAAAAATATTATTTATTAGAACATTCGGGCTCAGAATCATCCATTTTTTAATAATATTTTAAGAATATTGCTCAGCCTCAACTCGCATATTTCTGCCTTTTTTAATGAGTTGCCTGTTTTGTTCGTAACAGAGAATCCCATCACTGACATCTTGTTGCTTTTGAATCGTGTAAACGGGGTTAAATGCAAAGGAAACAATACCAAACGTCAAAATCAAAACAAGAAATTAGATAACTTTGTTTAACTAGATAAGTACAAAATGTCTATAGAATATAACATGACCTACGTTAAAATATTTTCACTCAAATTACAAACTGCTAATTTAAAACGCATTTGTTTTCGATCTTTTTACTATTTTGTTATTTATGTTACACTTGATGAAGCTAGTCTGAGTGAAAGATGAGTACTTTGTTGACCTCCCTGAAACCCATGGTCCTAAACTTCTACTTGTATTCTATGTTAAACATTGCTTGTAAATTTCTACACAAGTCTTGTTAACATCATTTTCTATTACTTTACGCAGCTCATATAGAGATGACGATTTGATTATCAAAATAAATTTTGTAAATTTATCATACTCATGGTATGGTGCTTTCCTGAGGTGGTGCCTTGTTTAGTAAGGCCATATTATTTTGGCGCAGTCGTCAATTTTTAGTTTCGCAATATTCACATTTTCTGTTTTATGCGTAGTCTAAAAATTGTAATTGTAAGATTGTAATTCTCTGTAGTACTATAAGCAGTTAAGGGCCATCTCGGCCTAGATACTTGAATTGCAAAAAAAGAACAAAAAAAATTGTGTGACAAAGCTCCTTAATTCAATTCATCATCAGAATGGCAGAAAGATCATTCTGAAAAGGAGGTTCCCTTTAACAGCACGAGACAGAAATTGGGTAAAACTGTTGCAAAGGAGGAGTGTTATTTGACAGTTGCAAATAGGAAAGCCATGACTTTTGTTTTTTGGCCAAGGTATGTGGAATATCAGCTCGATAAAGTTGGGATTTTTGTTAATCTCTTTACTTATTCTCGCAACAACTACCTGGATAATGATCTCTCGTGCTGGCCTAACCCAATGTCATAGTGGGCCAAAATGTATCTGTCCAGATGTGAAAAGTCCTTCGGCTGAACAACGCGAAGATTTTGGTTCGGGTGTCGAACCGAAAAAAGTAGAACTAGCAAAGGAAATTGAAAAATGTAAAGAAGATAAAAGAGAGCTGAGAGAGAGGCTTGACTGGGAGATTTCACGGTCAGACTCTAGAAACAGCGAAGATTCCGAACAGAAAGAAGGAATCAAAAGCTACAGCGAAGTGCAAATTATCGTTGATAATAAAAGGAAGGTTAACGGTTTAAGGGACAGTCAAGAAGTTTATGTACCATTTTCCTTTATAAAAGAGCATTTTGAAATACAAGGGGATTATAGTCGAGAGGATAATGGTGTTTTTGAATGGAAGCATGCAGTTATTAAAAGGTGGACTATACCAAATAAATACCTTGCCACAGGGGAATATGTTGGGCTCTCACAAGCAAATGTAGAAAGAAGAAAAAGGGTCAAGTGCATAGATGGGATGTATGAAGTGCCAGTTACAACTCAGTGGAATAAAAATGGATACTTTTATGCTACTCAGATTGCACAATATGGTTTGGCTCACTACAGCAAATTTTTAATTGAAAAAGATGGAAAGGACAGTGTTGTCCTTCAAAGTGAGAAAAGCCTTGGTAACTGGGCAGAATCAAGTGTTGTGAAAATGGTTACAGATGAGGTTACAGGAAGAACTGTCACATATTTTGATGGCAAAGGTGAGACTTTGTTTTTTATTGGTTGTCAGGAAGGGCATGAACCAGATGGCTAAACATACTGTATGATTTTGGTTAGATGTAGTTGCAAATTGCAGCACTCAACAAGCCATTCTGCAGAGTACAGACGTTCCAATATGCCAACAAAAATCTAAGGCAGTTGGTTAAGGTAAAAATTGGTGGAGAGGGGGCAGTTAATCACCCTTCTCTAGTGATCTAAAAGGGCTGAGGAGCATGTGGGTGATGCTCCATTAGGCTTTTTGTAGTAGACTTTGTCTGATGAAACTCATGTCCTGTTCATGCCAGTGACCTAGCATGACTTTAGGTGGATATTTCACAAAGGGCTCTATAGGGGCTAGAAGATGGAATGTAGAGCTCCAGGCTGGAAAACTTGCATATGCTTGCAGCGATGCCAGACTTCTTGTGCTCGCACCTCACACCTCTAGTGACCCAAAATATCAAGAAATTCATATATCATACCATAGTAATGTATATATGGGCATCAATGCTTGCAGCTCAAATGCTTCCGCTCGCAGCTAATAATGTGCCGTTGGTCGCATTGATGTATTCGCAAAATCATACATGTTTTCCAACCTGGGTAGAGCTAGGCAGTTCTGAAGGCTAAAGTTCTCATTTTAATGCCAAAAAGAAAACAATTTTACTATTGTTTTGAGATGTATTCAGCTTAGCCCCCCTTGTCTGTTTCATTGAGAATATGTTGTTGAGAGTATGCCTTTGATGTATTTGAAGCTTTGAAATAGATTTTCCATGCATACTGTCAAGCTTCTCTTTTCTTGTAGCAAGTATAAATATCCCAAAAGCTACAATTGGAAATGGGCACATTATTCTTTCTTTTGACATGAGTTGGCAGGCAGGATGCAGCCTCACAGTCAAGTTGAAGACAAAATCAGAAAATTCTATATTTATTAATTACATTTACACTAACGATTTAATTTATTCAAATTATCCAAATATATACATTGGCCTTGGTGTTTCAAGTGTGTGGAGAAAAGTCACCCGCGACATAAAGGTAGATTTTTATAAAGGAGTTGCACTTTTCAAGAATTTGAAAGCCAGGCAGACTCACTTTTTGGGTATACAAAAGATTTCACTACTTGGTTCAGGTATGTTTGGCTATTTGAACTTTTAGCCTACCTTTTGTACTGTGATATACAATCCTTTGCTGACAATGTTGATATTTGTACCTCTTTCCCCACCCTCGTTGATAATTTTTCTGCATGAAAAGTCATTCACCCCTAGTTTTAGTTGGGGGATGGATGCAGGGGAATAGCTAATGGGGAGCAGGGGTGGAAGGGTATAACACCTTCCACTCCAAAAAATACATTCTACAGAGCATTTCAAAATGTTAGTTAATCGCTTAGTTAATCTGTGCATTGCAAGAGCTCTGAATCCTCACTACTATCCATGTGATGTATTACTTTGTGACAAAAAGCATAGTATTCTTGAGACGTGAACAGACCTAGATTCACTTATCACTAACTGCTAAAGTGGCTTCTAGGGATGTAATTGTATAAGTTCTTTGTCAACAAATGGACAGCTATTTTACAAGACCACATAAACTAAATGAGCTGATACTTTTCAGAAAAGGGAGGAAATTTGACCCCTTTTTTCATTCAAAGTTTTCCTTGCTTCAAAAGGCCAATGGCAAAATTAACTCTACTTTTTGTCTTTGCCAGCCAACCGTCGAATGCATCAATAGGTGCATTATCCCAAACCTCTCGAATCCCCACATCCTTACTTACCACAGAGTTTTTGCTTTAAATTCGAAGCACAGATCATCAAATTAATGATCTTTATATAGGGCATATTGGAAATCTGACAATGTCGACTTCAGCTCATGTGACTATGTTTATGAACGCCGCGAACTGGTTGTTGCAGTTCCAGGACAAAGACGGGGGATGGCCAGTGAATTGCACAAGGAAAATTATTCCGGGTGCTGTGTCTCCTCCAGGTTGGCATTCATCAATGGGATCTGGCCAGGCTATTTCGTTGCTTTGTCGTGTGTATGCATATACAAAAGAACCCAAATACTTGGACGCTGCTCGTCGTGCCCTCAAGCTCTTTAACACATCAGTGGAAGATAATGGGTTCGTATCGACTGTTTTTGGTGGCTATAAAATGTTTGAGGAATATCCAACAAAACCTTCATTTCATGTTCTTAATGGCTTCATCTTCTCGCTGATTGGGTTATTTGATTTAATCCAAACTGATCCTAGGAATAATGTCGCTAATGAGCATTTTAAACAAGGTCTCGATACTCTTTTGTTTATTCTGCCCATGTACGACAATGGCCAGGGAACGTTTTACGATTTGCGGCACATTGCTATGCCGGGGGTTGAGCCGGACCGCGCCAGATGGGAGTACCACGCAGTACATTTAGGTCAGCTGGAACTCATGAAGCGAATTGTTGAAAACCCTGTTTTTGATAAGATTTTGCGGAGATGGAACGGATATGTCGAAGGCATTCCAGCCAGACATAATTGAGACTTTGAGATATGTAAATCATCGCAGTATAGCTCAGAAGGAGAATCGTGTACGCAATGCTGTATCTGCCCAAGTTTTTCATGGATTGGTCCACAAAAAAGTTAAGTTGGGTCCTTAAAATTGTTGTTATATCTGTACGGATGCTATCATCCATAAGTTCTGCTTTTCTCGACCCATCACCTCCCTTTTTCCACTGGTAGAAAAAAAATTCCCGTTGCTAAGTAACTGATTTTGTAAGTTGTTGTTTTGTTATTGTTATTCTTGTAGTTATTATTTCTAAACAAATCTAATAACATGTCATAATTATTGTTTTCATAAAATGATGAACTAGCTAATTTTTTGAATAGATATATACCATCGTCTTTGTAAGCTAAGTTTTTAGGGTAAATATTCATTTTGCAGCCGTGTAGACTTTTTTGTAGAATCTATAAATGCTGTTTTTCTCAAAAGTTTCATTAAAAGCTCCAAACTGTTTATTTTTTGACGTGCATATATTATTTTATATTTTTATGTTTCATTTCAAATTTTTGCACTAATTTACCAAAATTGTCTGAATCTAATATCTGAAATAGTTGCCAATTTCCTTGGTGCGTTCGTCTTTTCTATTCAGAAAGTATTTTAACAATTTATCGCACATATGTAAAATAAGTACATATGTAAAGCTATCTGTAATTCCAGGCATAGAAATCATGAGGTGCGGTCTCATCGAGAGGAAGGACCAGGTCACTGCTCGATAAGCGTAAGCTTCTCAGTGTCCTAAAAACTACCTTCGGATGCTAGGTAGAAACAAATACAAAAAATACATATGTAGAATACTATATCTGTTCCTTAGTGCAGCCATCTACGAAAGTCACCCATGGTGTTGTTAAGATTTCTGGGAGCAAGCTACCTCGAGGGAATAGCGATGAGTGCACAGGGGGGCATGCTTCCCCAAACGTCATTCCTTGTTGGGATTATAGATTTCTAAACTCTATTTTTGTAGAAAGCCTTAGGAAAAAAATCTTGTAGAAACATTCCTATGTCTCCATTGAACCTACAGACAACCTATATCAAACAGATATTGTTGTTTTTAATTGGTAACGCCTATGGTGAACAAGAACAGACCACCCCTCGCTGCCCTCGTGAAATTTAGCAAGCGAAAGGAAAGGAATAAACTAACAATATTAAAAATATTATACAACTTAGCTACTTAGTTTTAATGATGATAAATATCAATTGAAAGGATAAACAGTTATCGTATTTGAAAATGGCTTTGAAAAAAGCAAACATTTAGTAAACTATTTTTGGAATCAGTTTTGGAATCTATCTACACAAGCACGAAAAACCGCTACTGTGTAGACAAAAGGAGTTCGTTTTCACCTTAGGATTCCATTGGTAATATTCTCAATAGGCAAGCGGCACTGATTGGTCAACCTCAACAGTCATGGCTCGTGTTTCTGATTGGCCTATTTCGATCCACAACTGGGTATATATATATATTTCCTAGCGTAGAGTTTTCGGTCTATGTTCTGACGTTTTAAACTCTGAAGAGTGTCAGACGAAAAGCTTTAGTTTACTAAATGTTTGCTTTTTTCAAAGCCATTTTCAAATTTTGTACCACCAAAAGATAGTTATCGTATCATCGTTACCTGTATCCAAAGTTTTGCCACTGTATCATTCTCCATAAGGTTTCCGTGGTACAATCAATCATCATGTTTCCAGAAACATTTCGATGTATTGTAATAATATTTATCTGCTCTGCTAAACCAGTTTCATTCACTGTTTGCTGCAACTTTTGCATTATCCTCTGCAGAAAAACTCAGTGCCGCTTGCATACATGTTTAGTGTCCGACTCGAGAAGCTAGGCGGGCAGAATATTTTGAAAGCAAAAAAGGATAGGACCGAGTAGGCATCATTGAGGTGCTCCAAGATTTTCTGCCATTACAAATCTTTATCTGATACAACCAAGCATTCTTCCCTTTGTAATAAACAATATGGTTGAATGTGTTTTGTTATATATAATAGAGCAATCGAAAAAAGACCTTCAACTACTCTGATACCGTTTTGCTTTCCTAACAACGTTTAACAAATTTTTGAATCAAATGCTTTTTTATATCCATTGAAAAGTTATTTATCTTCTCAACAGCACGTTTTTGAGCTTCTTTGGGATGAAATAGCAGATTCTTGGAGCAAACATTGTTCATATAGCCACCTTTTCAATTTATTACTTCAAATAGCGTGACAATGTCACCGTTAAAAATCGTATAGCACTGACTCTTTCTAGCAGCGTTTTTGAAGTCCGACATTTTGGTCCCAAGATTGCAACTCAAGTTAAACAACCAAAATTTTTCTGAAAACCTATAAACTTCTACAACGACCTTTACTTATCAATTGTTTCTAAGTCCAAATGTAGAGATATGGCAAAAGGGTATTTCATGATGCCCCCATTCCCATGATATTTTATCGGCTTAAATTTTTCTAGCGAAGAAATTTTCCTACAATCTCATTTTCCTTCCCGAACACTCTTTCCAATTTCAAAGTTTGGTTTACGTACTTTAGATTGTTTTGTTTTGCATTATATTTCAAGTAGCACAGCTGACTGGCTGATAAGATTAAAAGGCAAATAGGTTATTATAATTATTCATCTGAAGCTGGTCATGTTATTAGGCTCTTCTTGTTTGTGTGTTCTTTTAAAGTTTGGTCTTATCTTATAAACAAAAGGAAGTGATGACGATTCTACTTTGGCTATCAATATATAACTGCCACTGCGAAGGAATAAGAATTTGAGAGATCTGTACTGCTGCGAGACCAAAAGTGCAGTCGAGAGGGACGAGTCCTAGGGTGAAATTTGGCGAGGGGTGCACTAGTTTAAGAACCTCTGGTGTGTAAGTATCTACCTTCAATCTCGTTCTTTATTTTGCAAAAACCTTTGCTCATTCGTAGTTTCATATTTTCAAAGAATTTCTTGAAAACCGTATGCTTCCTACTTTTGTTTTGATCAAAGCTAGGCCATTTCTGTCCTCATTATTTCGATTTTCCAAACCTCGCGGCCTGACAACTTTACCGCAGCAGGATAGAATTACAAGCAATTGCCAGTTGGATATAGTTGTCTAGCCTTTCAACTACAGTTGCTCATGTAACATTTTAACCATCAATTGGGCGGTAACCAGTGGAATGTATTATTAATGCGTCCATTGTTCAATGTGCCAAATTGTTACTATGGAAAATAGTTAAACTGACTTTGTTTGACAACATTCAATCGACAATCAGGTACTCGTACGCGTCGCTGACCTTTGCTCACAATGTTTCCGCTTCCTCAGTATATCAAAACAGACTCGAACCTTATCGATACAAATTATACACTTTAGATTAACTTTTACAATTTTAAAAATGGACCGTGTTAATAAATATGCTTGTAATAAAGATACTGTTTATAAACATCGTTTTTTCATTACAACGAAAATCTTACATTCTAACTCGCTTGGAAAGCTTTATGAAAAGAGTATTTGATATTGAATATATGCATTTTAGGCTTCATCTCCTCCGACATGGGAAGACATGGCACATGCTAAAACTTTTTAAAATTCAACGCCTACTTATATTTGCATTTTTGGTTTCCAAGTATTCATTACTTATTAATATATTTGCCATTCTCAAGATTCTATCTGTTAGAAAAAAAGTAGGAAGTTGTGAATTATTAACGGTTTGAAATCTATGGAGACCCTTTTTCGGCCTTGATATACCAATTGTTCTACAAGAAGGAACTGTGGAAACATGAAGAATAGTTGAACCACGAAAGCATTGATTTGAGTTCAGGGGGGGCTTCAGATCTTCCCTAGTAATTCCAAAAGTGTCTAAAACTATGCATTGAACCATCATGCTCATTTTAACCCCCCCTCTCTCTAATCCCCAACAGCCCCAAAGGTGTCTACCGTAATTCTTGTTGAGAAACACTAAATTGTCAGGAAACTTAATGGTACATGGTACCTATTGTTGTAGTATATTCTAGTCACTGGGATTAATCCAGTAATAGAAAAATCAGCCCTATTTAAACCAATGCACACAGGGCTTTGATCTTTTATTTCAAATAATCTCTGTGAAAAGAGCTAATCGCAATGAAATCTGATTAATAGAATTGGTCTGCTTTTAATGAAGCTAACTTGATTTACAAATTATTCAGTGTGAAGAAATTTCACAAAGGCAATCACAAAATTGTTTTGCTGCTGCAGGTCCTAGCTAGTTATAGCACCAAGCAGATCTTAATATCCATCAGAGAGCTTATGCTCCTACCAGCAATTTATTAAGAAGACCTGGTAGTTTATACTTTTAAAAACTGATATTTTTATAGGAAAAGCTTGTGAAATATTATGCAAAGAATGATAAGGCCCAAATACTAGGGCTGCTTGATGGGTTGGACTCCAAAAATGTTTGCAACTACATTGAAACAAATTGAGAATAAAGGCTCCATCAGAGCAAATAAATTTCTTAAGAATAAATGCTGTGTTAAGTATATTTAAAATTTAATAAAGTAATTTTAAAATATTAAAAATGTTTGTTATACAACCATAAAATGTTATCCACAAAACACCTTTTGTAGCCCTGCCATAGGTCAACAAGATAAAACACCAAGAATGTGCAAAATGTACAATATCAACATACATCAGTAAATTGATTAGTTAATGTGTTCTTTTATTTAGATTTGCTGAAGTATGTGTACATAAGAACAGAATTATCATTTTTTGTTTTTTGCTAGTAAGAGTCTCATGCTGCTGAACGAGCCAAACATCATAAGCTTGATATAGTACGACTTTAGTCCATTGTTTTATATCAAATTGAACTTTAAACTGTAAACTTCTAAATATATGCACAGAAATAGTGCCTTTGTGTGTCACAAGCTTCAATATCTTGTCTCATGATTTCTCGGCATACTTTGAAAAGTCACTTTAAAAATTTTTCTTAAAATTATTAATACAGAAGATCTCAGCATACTTTTTTGATAAATATTTTGATTGTTTCTCGAGGAATTTTTGTTTCGAAATGATATAGGCAAATTGTTAGGGGCTAGAAAAATTTCAGTACATTCGATAATAGGTGGTATTTTTTTGCTGTTGTTTGGTTCCAAATAAACCACAAAGTCCTGATATCCCCTTTCAAGATAAGATGCTCAACCTCAACCTAGAACTTGCCATGTGCCTAGAAAGTTCTACTAGCTAGATTAAGTGCCAATTCTTCCCAATTAGCCCTAGTTCTGTTGCCCATCAGTCACAAAGTCCTGTGAGATGTTACAATACTTTGTGAGGCCCCCTAGACCTCGAGGCCTTTAGACAATTTGCCCTCCTTGCCCCCCACTCTCTTCTCGGCCGCGGACCTAATGTATAAAACCTGTTAAACTGTTTCAGATTTCCTGAGATTTGGCAAAGACTTCATCACTCTATTGGAACAGAGGCTTTGAGAGGCGCATTCCCCCCTAGTTTTCAAAAGCCCCCTATTTCTCCCATTACCTTGGCTCTTGACCCATCTAACGGGCTAGGACCGAATTCTTTTTATCCGGATATAAAAGAGAATTGAAGCTAAGCCTCTCCATTCATGTTGGGAGAATAAATACCCTGGTTCCCGTTTGTATTTGTATGCAAGAATAAGAAGATGCACGGATTACCTGCGTGAATTGTTTATGGCTGCAAAGATTTGCCTGTACGAACGCAAGCAAGACAAACAATCCTGCTTTTGTTTACAATCGCACGTTAATCATTTTTTCATGATTTCCTTTGCCTCCTTATTAACGTTTTGTATAGGACTCAAATTATGCATATCATTGTATGGGAAATTTCAGTTGCTGTGTTGATGTGTTTTGACTGAAATAAACTCAATTTTGGTTTGCGTTTGTTTATTCACGCGCACATGTGTGTTTCTGACATCATTGGCCTCATGTTTGCCAGTGATATTGACGATTTTTTATGGCTTTTGAAAACAGGGACAAGAAGGAGGTAACTTTTTTATACCTGTTTGACTGAAATTTTGTCGATTAGCGATGCGCTTGCAAAAAATCTAGCAAGATACAAGCTAGCGTAACATTTTTTGTTGATGCAAAGTTTTTGGATTATTCACAGTACAGTTTGTTAGGCTGTTTAAAGCGAGGGGCAAATCACTCCAAGAAAATCTCGTACACCTTTTGTGAAAATCCTATTGTTTTATCTGAAAATCCCCAGAAATCCTTTTGTTTTAGGGAAAATCTCGTACGCTCTTTGCAAGAGTGGATTGCTCCTCGATTTAAAGGAGCTTCGATAAAATCTTGAAATTCACCAGTTTTCCTCAGACTCCCGCCCGAACTTATTTTTTTTCTACAGGCTTGGTTGATTTGCGACCATGTATGAAAAGTGTTAGTGAGGGTTGCTTGTATAGAGTTCTTAAGTAATGACGTCATTATTATAGATTTTCAGAATTATTGAATTCGTATCCAACCCCCTGAAAAAGCGTGATGAAATACCTCTAAACATGCAAAGTCCCTACTGCTGTTACGTAAGTATGTGGAAGCTAAAGGGTTTGCTTTTTGCTGCTTTTTAGTTTCTTTGCAGGCTTTGAGTAGCGGATTGCAGAAGAGCTTCCTGGAAAATAGAAGTTTTTAATTACGGAATTTATCATGAAATGTGTTTCAAGATGGGTTTATTTTCTTTATTGCTTATAGCCTAGTGGCGTAACACAGTTTAGGGCACCTTAGTTCGATAACTAAGGGCCCCCGACCAAAAAGGGCCCCCAGATAATTTTTATATCCATGTTTTACAGTCTCGTCGGAACGAAATTCATATTGGGGGGCTGCCTATTGTATTGCTCGCTATTCAGTAAACTAATATACAGGAAATGTAGTATAGTTTGACAATTATTGGGGGCTCCAGCCCCCAGCTCATTTCAAATTTTCAAATTTCGTCAGTTTCGTCAAATTTCTTCAAATTTTAGTCTGTCGTAAAATGTTTGCTTTTTTCAAAGCCATTTTCAAATTTCGTCAGCTGAAACTTCTATAACTCAAGCCCCCCCCCCTCCCCTGCCCAGGTAAAGGAGAACAATTCTCTGGATCGGATCGGCTTTTCTTGCAATCCGTAAAAGGGGCCCCATTTTAGTTGATTTCCTAAAGGCCCCAGAAGTCTCACCACTGGCATAGCCAGGATTGCGGTTCCTTGTTTGGCAGTATTTAAGAAGTACCTGGCCCGTTTTGGGGATTAGTGCTTTACTCTATTTCAGGGGGAGAAATTTTAATCGGTGTTTTTTGGAGTTGAGTGGCCGGAGTTGAGTGGCCGAGGAAGGATCTAAATTAAAATTGACGAAAAATGATAAAAAAGATTTAACAAAAACAGCCAAATTCTCAATGATTATAAATATCACAAATTATGGAAAATCATAGAAACATCAAAACAAACAGGATATTATCAAAAGACTTTAATTAATATTCATAACAATACAAAAGTTATAAAAAAGTAATTAAATTAATAAAGAGACGATTGAAATTATCCCTAGATGATTATCCGTGATAGTTAAATGTTAATGTTTTTCTTGGGTAACTTTTCCCTCGGTAATACAGTCTGCGGGTTGGGTGTAATTAAAATAATTCAGCCTTGTAACGAGTTAGCTGCTCTACAAGAACGCGCGTGTTACCATACACCTCGACTTTTCATTTTCCTTGGAGCTGTTCAAGATAGAAAATTAAAATTCTGTTGCAAAAACGAATTTATGTTGTTGACAAGATGTTTTTCACATTTTATTCTCAATAATTGGTAAGTGAACTGGTTTAGTCTGTTTAGAAAGGTCCATCTGTTTAGAAAAGTCCTTTTGATCGAGACTGCTGTTGAAAGTGCCATTTTAATATGTCATTTTTTCAAAATAGAAAAATGATGCCACTTTGCTGTCCAATGAAACGCAGTTATTCATTACAAAGTCGTCAGAGATCGTTGTCCCCCTTCTAGAAGTCCCAGCCTCCTCGTATTTGACATTTGCCTATGATTTTGACGAGATCTTATCAGCTCTATTTCTATTCTAGACGCAAGATGGCCGACACAGAGCAGATGGTAAGCGTATAATTTGTTTTTTTTCATGTTTTTTACGGTTGATATCAATAACTTTCGCTTGCGTCGTGCTCCACACTTCTTGTTTTATGAGAATGCACTTAACAGGATTAATAGGGCTTGGTTTGCCAAAAGAAAATAAGATCAGCGTAACAACATGCCCTGCCTCAGATAAAATATAAGAAGATCAACATTTTGTCTTTGAAAATTTTCTCTCATGTTAACAAAACAGAGCAGATTTTTTCGCCTTGTCAACCGTGCTGCCAAAAATGTCCTGGAAAACTGTTATGTAGGGGTCTAGAGCTTAAATGCAGAAAAATATTGTTGAAATAAAACATTACTGAGAACATCCAGGCCCCAAATTATCCAAAAAATCAGAACATTGGCCCTCATTGTATGAAGTTGTGTGAAGGACTAAATTTCATCAACTTTATTTGTTATAAGGATAAGAGAGATTTCAGTGAAACAGAGGGGCCTTTTATAAATGTTTCGGTCGACACGAGTTTAGATTTTGAGAGAGTTTCTTTCGAACTTAGATTGTTTATTATACATATCCTTTTATAAACCAATATAATCGTCTTTTTTGGTGTTTGTGTATTGTTTACTTTCTGGTTTCAATTGAATGAGCATGAGCATTAGATTTGTGTAAAATAGGTTGTTTGTTCATAAAATATCTAGTTATGAATCACAGTCCTATATCACTCTTTTCCACATCCTTTTCAACAACAACCAAATTGTTTCGTATCATTTTGGCTATGTTTTCCATTCTTGTGTACACGACCCCATACAAATATTTTACAGTATCAAGATAGTAATCCCTTTTGATCACAATTCCTCGGAAGCCAGAGTCTATTGAATCAAAGATATTTCTGCTTCATCGAGGATTTAATTATAAGGCTTAAATGAGAAGTCAACCCCATCTCTCTAAGCCCTTCTATAGCAGAATAGAGTTGATTTTGCCTACGTATTCATCTGTTCACTTACACATGTTTAGTATAACTTTGAGATTACTTTCAAATGTATATAAAACAGACACCGGTGTAGTCTACGTGCAGACTCTAACCCCCACGAAGGAGGTTAACCTGTGCTGTCAGACATTCTGTTGTTGGGGGGTTACTTCCACAGGGCCTAGCCTCAAGGAAAAATGAATTACAATATTAATCTAAGTGAATAGCCCGAGTCAAAGTCTTAAAGTTTTCCCTTTTGTCCCAAGAATGCCTGAAGATTTGGTCATCATCCAAAAAAATTGTGCGTTGCAAATTGTTTGTGTCCCTGAGATAATTTATCACCACAGCGTATGTGCGCAGGTTTATATTGACGTTTTTGGCTGGTTATTTTCAGCAGTTATGCATTTTTGGCTCAGTTCGTTCAACTACCATTTTTGTGCGTATACGTATCCCGGCATACAGGGCGTCCACAGAGCAAATATTTTTTGAATAGAAGTGCTGCTAATGTCCTGTTTGTTTTACTTAAAGCCTTCCTAGGCTCAACTCGTGTTGGCTGACCCGAGGTAACACGAGCTGCGTTTACGGTGTAATCAAGAGAGTTGTAATTGGGTAGATTGTAAAACAAACGTACACGCGCACGCGTACAATATGCACGCGTACATTGAAAGAAGTAGTTCATTATCTGTACGCATTCGTGAAAGGAAAAGTGCCCTGGTTTATCACTGTTTGTGTTGACATTTTTAACTGTTCAATTTTAACAAGGTCTTACCCAGAGGCAACCCGATGTATTGAGCTGGTTGGTTGCGTTTACCAAAGGCCAAGTTTTGGGGCGCACAACCCCCCCCCCCTTCCCCACTTTCAATTCGACATGAATCAAAAAGAATTTCAGGAAATCGGATATTTTGGTTTAGGAAATTGATGTGGAAAACCGCTGGAAGAAAAAATTTGAAAAAACTCGAAATGCTGTCTAGCCATCACAGATCAAGTTATGTAAAAAACTGGGCTTTGGTCATCCCTGAAGTATGTACGCTGCAAGAAGTGGATGTATGGTTTCTTCTAAAATGTAGGTTCTTTACTGATGTCTTAATAATGTTAGTATTACTTTATTCTTCTTTTAAATTCAATTCTTACGTATTCTAATTCCAGGCTGAAAATCAGTCAATATCAACAGATGATGGCTCTAAGGATAGCAAAGGTAAATAGATGTTGATTGCAATTGTATGGACCCTTTTGCTTACCTTTATTTTTGGGTGGGGGCTTATTCGAGGGAAGGGGGGAGGGCTTATTTCAAAGTTTAGTATTTTTCTCAAAGGTCGATATAAAAACAACATAATTTTCTCAATGAAATAAATTGAATAGCTATAGTCCTTTATGGGTTTTCTTGAAATAAGATATTATTCTGCAATTATGCTTCCCTCGAATAAGCCCCCATATGAGCTTATTCAAGGAGGAGGGATATTTGCAAAAATGATTTTTAGGTGGGGGCTTATTCGAGCGCGGGGGCTTTTTCGAGGATTTACGGTAGTATTGATACCTTAAAACGATGCCGTAGACCAGAACCAAGGGTGCAGTGGGCAGTTTTAGAAAGTCCACGTGCTATTTCTGGGAATTCTGAAAGTTCCCTTTTTACTTAGACCTGATATGATCTTTTCGAAATTTTGCTCAGAATTTTGGCTTTATCTAATTTTGACAGATGTTATTGCCATACTGTCATATGCTAAAAATTATTTCCATATTGACTAACAATATTGACTGGTAATATTGCAATTTTGTCGGATTTTACTGTAATATTGACTGGAAAATTGTAATATTGATTGATATGATTGTTCTTGAAAGCTGCTAATAATATTTTTCTTTCAATTAGATGACGATTCATTTGGAATTGCTGCTGGAAAGATCCCCGATAACGCTTTTTTCTCTTCGAGTGCCCTGAATCAATCATGTGGTGCGAACCAAGCAAGACTTCACAAACAGCCGCAAAAGGAAAAATATGGCGCATGGACCCCCGTTTACAATGATAAGAATCAGTTTTTGGATATAGATCTTGGTATGCATGTTTGCCTGGTTTATACATAATTGACTGATTGGCAATCACTGTTTACCAGGTTGTCATAAAGTGCTCGATGCTGTATAGAGCTTAGTATGCATGCTTGCCTGGTTTACACATGATTGACTGATTGACAATCACTGTTTACCAGGCTATCTTGAAGTGCTCGATGCTGTATAGAGCTTAGTATGCATGCTTGCCTGGTTTACATATGATTGACTGATTGACAATCACTTTTTACCAGGCTATCTTAAAGTGCTCGATGCCGTATAGAGCTTAGTATGCATGCTTGCCTGGTTTATACATGATTGACTGATTGGCAATCACTGTTTACCAGGTTGTCATAAAGTGATTGATGCCATATTGCCGAAGCTGTGCACGTTCGTATCAAAAGAAGAAATATTTGAAAAACATGACCTTTTATTAAGAAATTTTGTTTAAAGTTGATTGCCCGATCGCTCTACCTTTAAAGCTCAAAGTTTAAAACTTTAAGTAGCGCCAATACTTTTAGACGTTAATATTTCGGATCGTAGGAGCGTCCTAAGTTTAGAAAAAAAATTTCCGAAATTTTCTGTCTGAAAATATTTCATCAGAAATTTATTCGTTTGAAATTCTTGGGGTTTAATGCATGTCATCCGGCTACATCTAAAAGGTGCAAAATAAGTAAATATTCAATTTTTTTAAGATTCCGAACCTGAATGTTGACCATATTCTGTAAAAAAATTATAAAAATATCTGCATATGAAGAAACTAAAATTATATTGAAAATTGGCTGCGATATAGAAAAATATGCTCTGGCTCCTTCCGTGAATTGATAATTTTTACCTCATCATTTTGTCTCTTTACTCAGGAGAGACCGTACAGGTTGGTGCCATAGCAACACAAGGACGCCCGGCATACACAGAAGACGGGGGTTGGTATGTGGAAAGCTATTCCTTGGCGTACGGCAATGATGGTGACAGTTTCCAGAATCTCAGAGAGTATGGTATCTCGAAGGTAACTTATTTCCTACTTTGATTGCCATAGTAGACTAGGTAAAGACATAGATTTAATCATAAAATTTGAAACGGTCATGATCACGGTCCGATCCGACTCGTGTTGATCGGTCAATGGCAAAGGACTCGTGTTGATCGATCCGACTCGTATATCCGATCCTATTGATTTTGACCGAGTCACGAACCATTTTGACTTAACGCTCCCGAGACATTTTGACCCTGTATGTCTCCTGCCTGTAGAAGTCCGCAGCTTGGTGATTTGTCAAGGGTCTGATCAAGCATAGGGGACTAAATTCATTCGGTCCATTTGGATCTATCGTCAATTGTTATCTTTAGCTTAGCGAATAAATGGCTGCGACTTGGGTTCTTATGTCATCGTTCTGTGCCAAATTCTCTGTCCACGTAGATACCCGACCCTATGGCCTTGATTTCTAATTCAAGACAAACATCATTTTCTCATTCGTACAATAAAGTATGCGTAAGAATTTCCAAACAAAGCTCCTTGTGAATATTTAAGATCCAAGAAACATAATATACGCCTGAAATTGGTTAATAAATCTTAAATCTGTCAAAACAAAAAAAAGGTTCAAAATTAGAATCTCAACTGCATTTTCAATGTATGACAATGCCTGTCTGTCGTAGCCCTTTTTTGCGTGTAACGCTCGATTTGGCACCTTTTCATTCTATCCGACCTGTTTACTCTAGAGTACGAAAGAGTTGAAAATTAAACGAAAACCTTGAATTTATCACAGGTTTTTGAAGGAAATACCGATTCGGAAACCGTCGTCAAAAACCAGCTGAAGAACGCCATCAGTTGCAGATACATACGAATAAAGCCTGTCACGTGGCATAACCATATTGCATTGCGCGTCGAAGTGTACAAACCGTCTGGTGGGTTTTCATTTACGTGTCGTTGATTATTCAACATATCTTTGCCATTTAAAATGACTTGATGTTGTGCTCCCTTGAAATAACGCAATATTCGCGCCTGTCCCTGAAATTCAGAAAATGTGAGATATTTTATACCTGCTTAAGTCTGCGTTTGTATTTCCCCTACCCCTACCTTCATCGCATCTCCCACTTACGTTTCCCCATGTCACACATCAAAGCAGGGACATCACATGCATGGTTTCTGTGCATCAAATACTTTGATTCTGCCCCCGGCTGTGAAAGAGAAGGGCAGTGCATTGCCTCTCCTTTCAGTAATTCTCTTTCGATCTGAAGAAATTGATATACACGCTCAGTGTATGCACGTGGTTGGTGCCTTGCTAATGGATCTCTCAAAAACGTTTGATTGCATAGACCATGAGCTATTAATTGCGAAATTAGATGCCTATGGTTTTTGTAAAGATGCTCAACTATTGATTTATAATTAACTGTCCGGTAGAAAACAAAGGGTAAAATTAAATGGTTAATTCAGCACTTGGCGAGAAACCTTTGCAGGTGTACCACAAGGATCAGTCCTTGGGCCTCTTCTATTTAATTGATACATTAATGATTTATTCTTAATGGTAAATGATACTGCAGTATGTAACTTGACTGATGATACTACGATTTCTCAGCTGACTGTCAATTGGATAAAGTTTTAGAACGGCTAGAAACTGATGCTCTTGTTTTATCAAAGTGGTTTCCAGAAAACTTTATGAAATTGAATGCAGGGAAATGTCATCTTCTTACTTTTGGAACAAACCAAGATGACATTAAGATCAAAATCGGTGCGGTCATTGTTGAAGAAAGCTCTGAAGAAAAACTACTAGGGGTGATAATAGATAAAAATCTTAATTTCAAAAGTCACGTCTCAAATTTATGCAAAAGAGCCAGCCAAAAACTGCATGCCCTTGCTAGAGTATCGCCATTTATGGGTTCTGATAAACTGCGTCTCCTAATGAACAGCTTCAGAAAACCTCAGTTTAGGTACTGCCCCCTAATTTGGATGTTCCATGACAAGTGTGTAAGTGCTAAAGTGAATAAAATCTACGAAAGAGCACTCAGAATTGCTTATAAAGACAGTCATGTTGACTACGAAGCATTGCTGACATTGGATAATGCAGTATCGATTCTCCAACGCAATCTACAGAACTTGATGATAGAAATATACAAAACCAAACATAACCTGAACCCTAGTTTCATGAGTGAGATTTTTGAAACAAGAAATGTACATTATGATTTGCGGACTGAAAATAATCTTTGCATTCCAAAAGCCAGGACAACTTCTTGTGGTATAGAAACTGTGAGATATTTAAGGCAAAAACTGTGGCAAACACTACCTCACAGTATAAGACAGTCCCAATCTTTGGCAACATTTAAAAAAGAATTAAGAGCACACCCTGTAGAATGCGACTGTAGATTATGTAAAATATTTATTGCTGGGCTAGGTTTTATTTGGAATATTAAACCTTAAACATTTTTAACATTGTACCATATATTTATTTTATACTAATTCTTCATAGATAGTTGGCCTTAATTAGCTTCTTTATAGCTATTAGAGGTATTTCGCCAATTTTAAACAAATTATTCATTATTATTATATTATTATATAATGGTATACAGCGTAGAGAGTGACCATTGACTGTCAAAGCTTTTTTGTATAGTCTTGATTTCTGTCGGTCCTGAATTGTAAAGGCAGGGCTTGTGGTAAATTACCAAATAAGGACCCCTTATCAAACATGACCTCTGAGATCGGAATCAATTTTTTACACCCCTGTGTAACAAGTCTGGTGATGATTTTTTCACGAGAATAGCATGTAAATATGGCAGGGAACAGAAAACATTGTCTTAGACAGGCAGGGGATGGGTAGAATTTGCAGGGCTGGGGGTCAAAATAATTGAGGTCCAGACGACTCCCTGTATTGTTTTGTCGTGCCAATGAGGGAACTTAAGACTAATTGGGGACAAAAATCTTAGCTTGTAAGGGACGTGGCGAAATGGAAAAATGCCAGTGTCATTCATTTTCTTAAAAGGGGACAACCTGGTCAGGAAATTTTTCGCCGGCCGGGACGGTTTTCACCGGGCCTGTTACACAAGGGGTTTTTGTTAAGTACCCTGCTGATCAAGTGCCCCCCTAACCAACAAAGGGATGCTTTCTCGAACAAGAACTTTGAGAATTAAGAAATTCTCGAACAAAAATTTAGAATTATTAATTATTAATAGCTGTAATGAACAAGTTTAAGTGAGCGCCCTATTGAATAAGTGTCCATTCTTATAGGTGTATTTGGGTCAAGGTCATAATTTTGAATTAACGCCCTGGATGCTTATTCCGCCATCATTTACAGCAAGCATGTTAAATTCTTAGCACGTACTTTTTGTCTTTAAATTTTGTTTAACTTTTATTTCTTTTCCTTATATTTTTATCTTCATTCAATTTTTTAAAATCATCATCTTTACACTTATGGGTTCTGGCTAGGCTGATAATCACCTTCATGTTTGTTTTCCTCGAACCAGCTACTACTCAAAGTTCGAAAAAGCGCTCAACTCCCCAGAGACAAACTTCGAAAGGGTCATCATCACGTGGTGTACCCAGGACAGCTAACAGAGACAATGCAAGTAAACCGGTGCTAGAAAGTATTACTCTGGATGCAAAACAGGGACTGCCAAGGAGGCCAAACGAAGCCGAACAGATTAGTGTTGCTGATTCAGTCCCGAGACCGGATTCGAAAGAAGTTCTTGTTTTGAACGACAAAAGACCGGACCCGGAAATTCATGTAAAAGTTTCCGAAAACGGACTGAAAGGTTGGTATTTACTTTGAATCTTAGCTTTGTGCCATTTTTCAACTGCAGTCATATTTCTGTTATGCGTTAATCTTCATTTCTTCTTCAAGTCATTTAATTGGACAAGAATGGTGCCAAGATATCATCTGAAACAGAACGATCTTATGAAAGCTATACTTAATCGCTATTACGAAAATAATTACGCTTGCTATATATTGAACTTTGATCCTGTTTTTCAATGTGCTTTTCAAATCGAAAAATTTTGTCTTGCTGTTTTAAAGGACAAGAAATCGAATTTTACCCTGATCAAATATAGCTAAACTTTAACTTATTTATGTTATAAGCAAAGGTTTAGTATAATGCAGGGGCCGTTTGGCCACCCTTTTTGTTAAATACAGAACCTTTGTTTTGTAACGAAACATCTTTCATGTGTTCTTTCGACATTAGCAGTCTTTTCACTAATGTCCCTTTGAATGAGACCATCAAAATATGTGCCGACGCTTTGTACCGGAGCGAGCTTAATAGCCCACCATTCCCAGAGGAAGTATTCATTGAACTGATGGAAACTGCAACACGTTCAGTTGAATTCAGCTTTAACAATGAAATGTACCAACAAAAGGATGGTGTCGCTATGGGTAGCCCTCTGGGACCGGCCTTGGCCAATATCTTTGTTGGCTTTCATGAAGAGCGTTTGTTTGACTGCGACCAAAAGCCAGGTGTCTATTTTCGGTATGTGGATGACACATATACTATTTTTAAAACAGAGGCTGAGAGTGATATTTTCCTAAAACGCCTTAATGGTCTTCACACAGCCCTACATTTTACATTTGAAAAGGAAGAAAATAACTCCTTGCCATTTCTGGATGTTTTGGTTGAAAAATCTGACACTGGATTTCTCACCAGTGTAAACCGTAAACCCACATTTTCGGGGTTATACACTCGATGGAGCTCGTTTTGCCCAAAACAAAGAAAAATCAGCCTCATCAAAACGCTTACACATAGGGCACTGATGATTTGTTCCAAGTCTAAACTCGACTCGGAAATTGAAAAACTAACTAAGATTTTTCTGGAGAACGGTTATCCAGAAAATGTTATTTCAGTTTACATTAAGGAGAAGATAGGAAATTTCTCGGCTGACGTAAAATTTGGTCCTCAAAAGTGCCCGGTCTATCTAAAACTACCCTGGATCGGTAACAGCTCCCTACGTTTTGAAAGCCAAATAAAACAGGCCATAACAAATTGTTTCTTCGCGGTTAACCCACGTGTTGTTTACAGTACAAAAAAGGCCCTTCCGTCCATTCAAAAGGACTGCGTTCCTGCCACAAAAAAAAGTTCTGTTGTATATGAATTCACGTGCCAGTGTGATTCTGGCTACGTAGGACGCACCACCCAAAGATTGGAGGATAGGATAAAACAACACGTTCCATCTAATATTAGAAACAAAACACATCCCCAAAGAGAACAGCCACCTCGGTCTTGCAAATCCAAAATTACTAATAAGACCTGCGATTCTGCTATCGGGCAGCATTTGCTAGAAAACCCAGTTTGTGCAAAAAACTATAATGGCGACATGTTTCGGATTATTGGTAAAGCCCGATCGTCGTTCCACCTAGCAGTTTTAGAATCTATCTACATAAGCACGAAAAAACCGCTACTGTGTAGACAAAAGGAGTTCGTTTTCACCTTAGGACTCCACTGGTAACATTCTAATAGGCAAGCGGCACTGATTGGTCAAACCTTTACAGTCATGTGCTCGTGTTTCTGATTGGCCTATTTCGATCCACAACTGGGTATATATATTTCTTAGCGTAGAGTTTTCGATCTTTGTTCTGACGTTTTAAACTCTAAAGAGTGTCAGACGAAAAGCTTTATTTTACTAAATGTTTGCTTTTTTCAAAGCCATTTACAACCTTTGTTTTATGATATTGGGTGAAGTTTGAAGGAAATGAAAAAATTCGTTGTTTTGTTTAGTAAAATGTTGGATTAATTTGACCGTCCATCAGTGAAAGGAACTTTTCGCCAAACGTTGCATCTTCACTTGATCATGAACCTGCGCGTATGACAAGTGAGTGTTGCTGTTCATTTTGCACCATCTAATGCTCTTGTCGGAATCAAATTGAACCGAAGCGAGTTTCAAGAACGGTAGAAGAAACGTTCTTTAGTTCGAGGATGACTCATCGTTTTAGTAAATAGAGTCTATCGTATTGAAAGCTAACCGCTTTCTTCATCGTGCAATTGTGTACGCCTCTCAACGTCTCGGTAACTGAGCAGATAGAAAAACTAGTTTTCATACTTTGACAATTCACATGGCGTAGTGGTTAGTTTGAAATGATTGGTTAAAACACGACTTATCAGACACTCATCTCTCCCTATTGGTTCACCTTGCTCCGCCGCTTGGCATACGTCTAGCCTCCTTTTCATCAACCAACCAATTTCCCGTACGCGGATATCTGTTGATCGAGAATATTTTTTTATATCTGCACGCGAAATATTAATGATCAGCCACGGCCGACTATGCTAGGGTTCTTATTGGCTGAATCTTGTCGTGGTCTTATGTTTAAGCGGGATATAATGATTTTGCATGCCATTCATGAGATTCATATTTGTTTCTACCTAGCATCCGAAGGAATATCCTCTATATAAAAAAAGATTATCTAACTTATAGGGAGCTGAAATGATATGCTAACAATTAGCTATGCTTATCGAGACCTTTCTCTCGATGTGACCACGCCCCGTGACTCCTGCGCTTGGTTTTGCAGATACCAAATAACATCATCTCGTCGTCTATCAAAGTCACCGTCACTCAAGAGGTCAATAGCACCTTAACAAATATGTATGAATCAATAACCTGACTTCGATATGCTTTAAACATCCAATTTACTGATCAACATTTGGCCGAAAAGTTTTTGTCCGAAATGCCAAAAATATGTCCGAAAATTTTTTCGCCGGAGTTTCACTCGTCATTATAAAGTGAAGGTTTGATCATGTCAATGACATGAACCACTGAGGCATTCTCGCACCTACATTCATTAGTTACTGTTTTACTTGATGTGTAGATTTAGTTTATCATTTTATTTAAGGTGATGTTAAAGCCATTATTGTCTAAGTTTATTCTACTGCATGTTCAACATATTGTACAAATAAAGACGTCTTAATTGAAATGCGATGATAGTTTACTTAGAGAAAACGTGTCAATGCACTAGATGTAAACAGGCCAGTGCAGATGTTCATTTTAATCGCTGTATTTCTACCTGCTTGTCAATATTTTGCAATGCAGGTTGTCGCATTGATTTAAGAAATCTCTTTAGAAATCGAGACAAAAAGTTGTAAGCTTTTGGAATTCGACGTTTCCTCAAAGATTGGTTTTAAAGGCGGTGTATAGGTACATATTTTTGTTGCAATAATGGAAGGAAATGTAGTCGATTGCATGATGCTAGTGAATGGGCACCAGAAAGGTTCGTGAACTGAAGCTTGTGATGGTTTTTGCATTTCTCTAACTAGAGTTTCCATTACATGAAGTAGTGTACAATGTTTTCGATCAACAATGATCTCCTTGAATTAGGCTCAGTTTTTTTAATTCCTCGCATAAACATCGCTAACATTGCTGCTCTTGCTTTTCCAGCTAATGGTCTGTTTATCTTGATCCTTGAAGACTTGATATAATTTCCCCTTGACACTAGTTAAGTTAACCTTCCTTATGTGTAACTTATCGTCCTTGATAACCACATCTGTCTGTTTAATCTGAAATCACTTTTTCATCTAGCTGTTCTTGTCCTGCTGAGATAAATTGGTAACCGTACTAGGTTGAAAATAATCTTCCAAAATATAAGCTTAAGTAGTTTTCCTGCCATTCGAAGAATTGCATGTTAAACAATTGGCCTAGTCGTTTTTATTGAAGTGCTGCAATTGATCTTCAAAAGATTCCATATTCCCTTGTAGCTTTCGTCCTTCCTATTGATATGCGATTATTTCAAACCTTATAATCTGTAAGACGTGCTCAAGCCTCTTTTGAAGGAGAAAAAGAAAGCCTCTTTTTTGAGCTTTTGAAGGAGAAAAAGAGAGATCATAGAAGGAGGGAAGAGAGAGGAAGGAGGGAAAGGAAAGAATATCTTATCCTTCCTTTTTTTACCTCTTCTTCCAAGGGGTGCCTGAAATAGAGACTTGAAACGATTTCAAGCATTTCTTTGTTATCCAACTAACATGCAAAGTCCAGAAAACTGTTCATGCTTCATAAGGATTATGTTCTCAAAATTTTAAAACTTTCCTCAAATATCCAAATAAGCAAGATGGGGCTTGCGCGTGGTGCTGTAATTCCTTTTTGTCTCGGTGGCCTTCCTTGCTGGCTTGACCTTGTGGCCGCCGTGTTTTTCTGGTGAACATTTGTCTGCAATAATTGCAAGATGAAAGTTCTTCAGCATTTTGCTCCATTTTCAAACTCGTGTTCAACCACCTTTAAGCCACCGTACACTGAAAATTGACGTATAATGTAAAAATCATATATATTACAGTAACTTGTATAATCTTTTCTTAAATTGTCAAAATTGTTCTGAGGAGAAGGGGAATTTGAAGTGGTAGCTTTTGCAAAAAGAGCGAAGGATGTGGAAGCAAGCATCAACTAATATGGACCTTTTTAATAATTTCTACAGTCTTTGTTGTATTTAACAAAATGCCTTTGTGCATATAAAAATACGTATTATAAAACGAGTTAATCGCAAAATCAACTGTCGATTTTGTTCCAAGAAATTTTACTCTGCCTAGAGAGCATAAATACAGGAATGAACAGAGTCGTCGTATTGTCGCTGTTAATTTGTTATTGGAAGAGTAGAATTGTTTGAACCCTCTGATTACCCCCCCCCCCGCCCCTCCGAAGCTCCAGTCAAACACCCAGGAGGGCTTTATCAGTGCCGGTTATATAAAGTCACGACTAGAAGATGCTTTGCAATGTAACTATATCAAAATCTGCAATTGCTGTTTTTATAGATCAAAACACTGGTGATGACAATAAAAGCAGTTTTGAGATTATAGAACCAGAAGATTTGCAAATGAAGAGTGGATTGTTGCTGTCGGAAAAATCATCAACAGAAGGTGATGATTCAATGGAAGATGAAGGGAGCTTTGAGAAGATAAACCAACCGGAAATGATACCAATCGTTAGTGTCCGGAATCAAGCAAACGTCTTTGAAAATCGACCGGAAGTCGAAAAAACTGCTCCGGCTTTCCGTGCGATGACAAAAGGTGGCTCGGCAGTATCTACTCGTGATGGATCAAAATTTATTGGCAAGATAAAGCTTGTCAAGCGTGAGGAGCCGGAGGAGGACTCTAACCAGGATGATAAACCAGTCGAAAAAAAGGAACCGGAATATGTGTTACCGGATGCTGTGAAGGAGCGGCTGGTTAACTATCAAGAAGTTGTATTGCGGAAGAATGGCAGCAGAGAAGATTTAAGGTTTGTAATTTCTCACGGTTTTACGTAAGCTAGAAACTACCCTAAGCAACTATTCGCTCGTTTTTGGGTCTCACGTAGACCTGGGAGCCTGAGTAGTATTTCCGAAAGAGATTTTAATTCGCATTGAGTCTAGTGTCAAGTTTCATTTTCGCTTTCAATCTTTGAAATTTGTTTAATCATGTTAGGATAATATTTCGTGTTGCCCGTAACTGTGTTGCTTTGGTGAAATCATATTTGCAAGCCTTCCTCCAGCAATAGGTTTTCCCCTTTAATGGATGCTGTTGTCCATTTCTTTTGCTTTGTTTCGAGCTACCTTCCTGGCTTAAAATCAAATTTTCAATTTTTTTGGATGCTGCAAGGCTCTTACTGTGGACTCTGCGCACTGTGACGTGAGGCAACAGTTTTATCCCCAACGCTACAGGAACACGAGGGTGTATTTTGTTGTGTTTCGTCCTTTGCTCTGCCTATTTGAGTTCTCAGATCTTCATCCTGGAACTGATTAAAAACTGTTAATAATTAAATGAAAACATATATTATGTATTAATTAAGAAATAAATTCCTGCTGTTTTCTTGTAGCAAACGCAAATCACTGGTTCTCGAAGCAGACTTGAAGTATCGAGAAGAAATGGAATCAAGTGTGCTTGACCGATTGAAAGTTTTCAAAGACACCGAAAGCAAATGCAAGGAGGATTTAGAGGTAAACTTTTAGGATTATATATAATTAGGATTTTTTTATTTTTTAAGAAATAACTCACGATACAAGTATAACATAACACAGGGTTTTTATTAATTTAGAAATAAAAGGCTAACATTTAAAAGTAGACTTCTATAAGTTTACAAAAGTCCTTAATGTTAGATATAATTAACACTTAAGTAGACGTTTAGCTAGGCCCAAAAGCTGTCAAAGTATTTTCGCTATCTGTGATGTTAGTTTTGAATGGTAGGTTAATGGGCGCCAAAGCTACAATTTTTTTCTAGTATTTGACAGTAGAATGCACAGGATATATCTTCTCTCAACTTTGTTAAATTTTGTTCTAGTTGTCCAAGCAGGAAGAGGAGAAAAGGCTTTCCCTGAAACGCGAAGCCGAGAAAAGAAGGTCTCTTGCGTTGCAAAAGGAGAAAGAACGGATGCTTGCGATACTTGAGAAGCAGAAAGAGGAAGAAGAAGAACAGAGACGGAAACAAGAAGAGGCTAAGGCCGATGAGTTCGTCGAAATCAATGCGGGAGTGCTTAGTTTTGAGCCTGTAGTTAACGATCGTCTTAAGTTGTTTAAAGAGAGCGAGCGACAGGAAAAAGAAAAGCAAGAGGTGCGGTTTGATTCGATCAAGATTTAGTAATTCCGATTGCTTTTTGTAAAGTTTGCACTAATTTACTCAGCGTGGTTGGAAAATGGTTCGAACGGCAAGATTACCTGTCACAATGTTCTTTTCCATGAAAATTGATTTAAGTCTTAACACCACATTTTTGTTGTTTGACTCTAACTAAGTAAAGCTCTTAAATATGCCGGTTTCTGCTCAAGTGAGTCCGGATTCTATCGGAAATTTATCGGAGTCCGGATTCTATCGGAGTGTGTCCGGTCTTTTAGCCAACAGTTGAAATAATCGCCCCTATTTTTATCACTTTAAGTGCCATTCACTGTTGAGAAGAGAAATTTCAATTTTACGTTATTAAAACTTTCCTTATAAGCCTTTGAAAGTAACGCGAAAAGACGATTGGCACGCTACTTTCGATCCGCATCTGGATAACAAATTTCTGCTAATTGTTTGTATTTATCCAGTGTTTATACTCTGAGTGTTGGATGAAAAGTACTTTAGTATAGTATGTTTCCGCTCTCCCGTGCAATCTTCAAATATTTCCAATGTATAAGTGGTATATATCTATAACTGTATAAGGGGCAATGGCCTACACCCCCACCCCTCCTCTTTAACCTTATAAACTATTTGAAGATCTGCAGGTTCATTCTATCTTTTAATTTTGCAATTATTTTACAAGGCATTAAAAGAGGAGGCTGAAAAAAAGAGAATTGCAAAAGAAACTGCCGAAAGAAAACGAGAGCTAGCTATCCAGCGCGAAAAAGAAAGGCTGCAAGAGCTGATGAACAAGAAACAGGAAGAGTTACGACTGATGAATGCCGATCAAAGTTCAGAATCTAACAGTGCTAACGGAGAATACGAAGAAGAACCACCGGTGCCCGCCATTGTTCACGATCGCATAAAGATGTTTAAAGACAGCGAGAGGGCAAGCAAGGAAAGACAAAACGTAAGTTCTCATCGTCGATCTTTAGTCACTTTTGAAGGGCTGCGGAGTAAGGGGCGTCGGGTCAAGGGCTGTGGAGCAAGGGGCAGTGGAGCAAGGGGCAGTTGAGCAAGGGGCAGTTGAGCAAGGGGCTGAGGAGCAAGGGGCTGAGGAGCAAGGGGCTGAGGAGCAAGGGGCCGCCGACCAAGTTTCTGATTTAGGGGTTAAAAATCTGTTAGTTTCGGGTTTACATATCACTTGGGCATTGTTGAAGTGTTGCTTCCAGTTTGTTTTGGACTGCAGTCCCTGCCCTTTTTATGCAGACTTTCTACTACGGGGCCATATTTTAATGTTTATGGTGATTACTTTAGGATTTGCCTAGCAAGTTATTAAATGATTAATATTTTTGGCTGGATCTTGGTGGCTATTGCTTACTGTCCACACAATGCTAGCCTGAGAAAAGCTTCAGAATTTCTTTTGGTTGTTACAGGCACTACTTCTTGAAGCAAAAAACAAGAGAGCTGCGGAGGAGGAAGCGGAGCGTTCTAGAATCTTAGTTGAGCAGCAACCTAAAAAGATTAATGAAGAAGTTGAAAAAGAAGCAGAAACTGACAAGAAAGGAATATTTGGCGAAGAGAGGCAGAATGAAGAGGAGGTTGTAGTTGCCGTAGAGGATTTGAATGTTGAATCAGGGATTAGTTTTGATTTTATGGAAGAAAATGGTGGTGATGAGCTTGATAGAAAGAATCAGGAGGATCATGTAGATCAAGTTGTCATTAAAGGTAATCAGTTTTCACTGCTGGTAGGAGAGTAACTGACAAATAAGATGTCTGCCTTGGGGTAGAAGGATTAGATTAAGGTTGCAAACAACGTATGCAATCTAATGGCTATGCAAAATGTTTCTCCTGATTTTTAATTTTTTTATCAATGGCTGCAAGAGAGGTTTATTTCAAATTCAATTTTAAATTATTTCTACACGAAAAGACCTTCAGCTAGTTCTAAAAGTACAATAAATCAACTGCTAAAGATTAGGATACAAGTTCTATTAATTGATAGTCCAAATGCAGCTTATAAATAAAATATAAAATATCGAAAGCTACGTCGCTGCTGATCTTCCAGGGGGTCGTGTTTTAGTTGGCTTTCAGCTCATCAGATGTGTTTTTATTTGTTTTTTGAATTGACATATGGTAGGAAGCTCCCTGACAGTTATGGGGATTTCATTCAAGACTTTTATAGCTGAATAGGAAAATCCTTTTTGGCATACTCTAGATTATACTTCGGCATCTGAAGATCTTTGCAGAATTGCTTGGAGTATTAGATCCTTTGTTCAAAATTTTTTCCAGAGATTTCCAAAGTCTGTTCATGATCAAAAATTTATGGAAATATGTCCAAAATGATCCAAAAATGAGTCTGTTTGTGATCCAATTTATAATAGACTTTTGGACATATCCCATAACTGACAGAAAAGCAAGCAGATTTCACATTAAGTGGTTCTCCAGGTTTTAGGCAGGCCCGTACAGAGCCTTTCTGGTGCTTCATGCCAAGAGAAGGATGGAACCGTTTACGACGTCATTAAAATATGATTGTTAATGTTGTTTTTTCTGCTAGGAAGCCGCTGACCAAAACCAGTTATGCAGTCTGCCTCCCTGCCCCCCCCCCCTTTCGGCCAATTTTTTTTAGGAGCTGATGAACTCTGATAGTAGCGCGTCCAACGCTTTCCATCGATTTGTTTATTACAGAAAAACCTTTGGTTGATTGAACATAGAAGGAATAAGCCAATATTTTATTGTTTGCAGGTATTGCCTGATTGCTGCTTGCTAGAGCCTAGCTCCAAATTATGTACAAATGCGTATTCACCAAAAAGGAATATAAAGCTGCCTGCAAAAACCTTGATTAAGGCCAATATAGAAGAAAGATACTTCACGTCGAAAAGATTATTCTACAATTTTGGTCTTTTTCTTTCTGATAAGTGATAACGTACTGCTATGTTATTCATAACCCAAATCTGTAACCTAAATCACAATTTATTAATAGAATAACATTGAAGTTAACTGCCCCCATTGTGCATATATGTAAATATTCTGCAATCTAAGGGCTGCAAAAAATATGGAGCCCAGGGGTGTAGTGCTGTGAACGGACAAAGGGGGCTCTTGCAATAATTTTCTCAAAAAAGGTGCTGAAAACAATAATTGGCTATAATTGGCTACCTTTTGGCATCAACAAGGAGATGTAGTCCTCCTGAATCCACCTAATACTAAGTCCCTCCGCTGGATACTATATGCAGTGAGGTCTTGTAGGGGCAGTTCCAAAGCAGTTGGGGGGAGGGGCAGACAGGGACGATAGACATTTCTACTCTAGAGATTTTCAATCCTTTTTTGTAACTGCAAAACCCATCTTTGCTTCCTTTTTCTCAAGATAAAAACGATAATAATAACGACGAAATGGATTTTCAGAAGAGGCTGGAGAGCATTGACACCCATCACGACGGCTATGGTACGTGCTGTATTCATTAATTTTTTTTATCTCTACTAAGCTTCCCGGTTAAGTTTTAACCCGGGCTTAGATGTACCGGTTGTAAAACAAACCCGACTTTCATCAATGTGAGGTTTGAGCTATTCAATATTTATATAATTTGTTTGTGTTGTGTACATGAATTCGCCCAAATTTGACGCAAAATTTCAGCCCGGTTTGACAAAGTGAGTTTAACTCACCTAGAATTTCTCCCATGAACTCTTTCACTGTCGAGAAAGGACTTTCTACAATCTTGGCAAAAAATGTTGAGACACTTGCAAAAAAAGAAGCTACTTACAACCTCACCGCCCCCCCCCTTCCCCTCAAATAGATGTTGTGATTGGATTTGTAACCAATGTAGTAATCCACACTTATTCCGTAACCATCTAAGCCAACATTGATCCCGGGGGAAGGGGGCTTGGGTCACCAGCTCATATAATGTGACGATATGGCCCGCGAATTCCTTATTCGTTCAAATGTCTCGGCTATTTTTTGCCAAGATTGTAGTTGTCAGATTCAAACTCGAACTCTGTTGAGTTTTCATGTAAATTGCTTCTATTGAATTCAATTTTTCAACTTAGTTTCAAGTGCTTTCAAACTTTCATAGATCCGGACCATGAAAGAAGAATGCTGGAGGAGGCCGAAGCAGCTTTTAAGAGCTTTGCCACGCACCAGAAAGGCGGAACTAAACCAAAGCGATCTGCCAAGACAGAGAGTCTCATTAAGTCATTCACAACTCCTGGCGACGTGCAGCCTGCATGCAAAACTCCAACTAGTTTGAATGACGTAGCAGAGAGGAAGGAGAAAAAGCAGAGCCTTGAGGAACACGTAATTTCAGAAAAACAAACGGATATACATGTAATTCCAGTTGACAAAGCCAAAGCCGTTGATGCGACGAGGCCAAGTGACGCCTCAAGTGAGAAGAATGTATGTCTTTCTGGCCTTGTAAAGGAAAGAGCTGGAATTTTTTCTAAGAACATGCCCCCCGTAGCAGTACATAAAACAGAAACTCCGCATGCCAACGTCAAGAAGTGGATTGCCTCGCAAAATCAAAATTGTGCAGAAAATGGCGATGAAGAGCGGTAAGTCTTTTCCATGTCATTTGAAACTTTATGGATGATCATAGTACAAAACTGTAAAATTCAAGCAGAATTCCTAAAATTTCAGCAAAATAATGATAAGTTTGGCAGAATTTAGAACAGTCTTCTTTCTTCTGCCGACCTAGCAACCAAAACAAACTTTCAAGAACAGTGAAAAAAGTATTGATGTTGTTACTGGAATTATTTGCAAAGATCCTTCCTAACGGTCACCAATCCTTCAAATTCTGGTCACGGCACCATTTTGTAGTGTAGCCACAGGCAAAACAGTGTTTAGCGATTAAACACACACAAAACATCAAAGCATTTACACGAGAAGTAACATAAATGAACTTAACTGTCGTAACAAATATCAAAGCGATCACAGTCAACTCCCGATAACTCCAACCCTCGTGAGTCGAATATTCGCCACGTTGAACTGATATTGCATTCTCTTAAAACCTTGCACAATAATTTGATATCAAGCCTCTGTAATTCGAACAGTCAGTAACTCATTTTCATTGGCTCCTTGGAGGTTCAAGTTATCAAAAATTTACTGCAATTAAACTATTGTTTGTCATGTGACTGAATGTCATGTGACTGTCTGTCATGTGACTCTAGTTTACAGTGTGACCACCGATTTTTAGAGTTACTGATCAATAAAAAACTTTGGCTGTTGTCACGATTCGGTCATTTCCAGTTGCGTTGTGCTAAAGAGCATCAGCATTCAACGGCTGTTGTGGACAAGGAACTACTTTTCACTCGCGTTTCTTTGTTTTTTTTGTCTCTTTGTCTTTAGACCTTTCTTTTTAGTAAAAATTTATCGAAATTTGTCTCTGAGCAATTCCTAACTTAGAATTGCTGTTACACCTCTGGGTACACTCTGTTTTCAATTAAACGTTTTGACAGGAAACGCTCTGTTTGTTTTTGCTAAAATGTTCAAACTTGTTATCTTGTTGTGGAGACAAGCAAGATAAAATCTTTTCACGAGTGAGGCAAGGCAAGCCCCTGTCATTGAGCCAAAGAGCACGAGGCATGACTCCAAGAGGGGTTGCCTCACACCTTAGAAGACTTTCTATTAACTTATATGCAGTATCCCTTTCAATTAAAAACAAAGGAAATGTATGATTCATTCAATTGTAAAGAATTTCATTTGTCACACTTGAGACTGATAGTTCAATCGTTGGTCACCAGCAAGGAATTGATAACTGTAGGCTATGAATCCTTTAGGAGTTGACAGATAAATTTGTTTCCAGATCTCTACTCAATTCCCAATTGGAAGAATTGGAAAGGAAATCTGCGCGTACCAACGAGATGATCGAGAAATGCAGGCAGCAGGGTGACGATGAAGGAGCCTTGGAATTCGAGGAAGAGCTGCACTGTACTTTACTTGAAATATCAAAAACGAAACGAAAGCTTTTGAAGGTTGAAAAGGAACATGGAGGAACGAGACAGCTGGTACACAGTTTTTCTGTGAGTTCTGAGTCGCGGTCGATTCCTGATGATAATTTAAGCGACAAGGCATCTGCAGCATCACGTTCGCAAAAGGGAAGCAGCTCAACAAAATTATCGAAAGAGTGTAAAGCGCCCGTGGACAAAGAGCCACCACCAGTCGATGCAAGTTCGTTCAATGACGGTGGAGAAATAGTGGTTGAAGGCAATGTGTTTTCCCAAATAAAGGTAATCGGGTTCCAAAGTGATGACGTCGTACTACTTTTACGTAACTTTTACTCGGTCAGGGTTCAACATGCTAGAAATAGATATTTGATGACGTCACTCCAATGTTCTCTGTTGTTTGTTACTTCTTTGTTACTATAAGTTACTATAGTGGACTCCAAATTATCCGAAATTTGGCGGGAAATTGCGGGGGTTCGAATTAGCGGGGGTTCGACTAACTGGATCTGCGAATAGCACAACTGAAGTGAATTGCAGAGTCCAGGTGAATGCTCGTCATTCCTCGGGATAATTTCTTCAAGCTTTCGAACCTTTTTAACAAAACAAAGAAAGTAAGGCTAGGTTTTGGGCGTGGTTGTTTATTTTTCTTTGTTTTCATTGGCCTTTCTCGCTGTCTGTGACCGTATGACCGCCATGCTTTCCGGGCACAGGGGAAATGAGAATTGGTACGAAAACCGGTTCATTGAATCGTGGTGTAGTGCTAAGGATGGATGGTCAGCACATTTTTTCTTGCCCCAGTTTGTTTTCAAAGCCCCATACTTCCGATAAAGTCTACAACCAAAGCTGGAAGGGGGTTTGGAGGAAGGGGGTGCTGGCGCTCCAAGGAGATTTGGGGTTAATTTTACTTTAGGAATTAAGAAAAAGCGTAACCCAGCGACTGCCAATAGCTTACGATCATCAGACACCTGTCTAACTTTTGCTAAAATCAGGTTGCATCAATTGAATGTAGTGCTTATAAAGTCACTCTTGGGGGTTTTGAAGCTTACCTACACGAAGTATCATGGTACACATTTACAGAGCCGTAGAGATGTTTCAAAGGCCCTGGGGCAAACCGGAAGATGAGGCCCCCTAATTGCGAACACGCCCTTTTGATTAGCTTGAATACTATTCAGAATATTTATTGCAGCTTTTTTGCAATCGTATCAAGCGTTTTACTATTTTTAGGCACATTTTTTGTACGTTTCGTTAATTCAATTCTGAGATTGAATACTTTAAGTGGCCCCCTAGAGGCCTTGGGGCAATTTTCCTCCTCGCCCCCCCCCCCAGTTGGTGGCTCTGTTCGTTTATTCTCTGTCAGTGAAAGCCTTCAAGTGGTTATTGAAACTGTTGTTTCGTAAAATACAGTTCGTTATATCAAGAGTTCGTTTTACCGGGAGTAGCTATTCCAAAGAATCAGATTTCTCGTTGTTAATAGGGAAAAGTTCGCAATAAGCGAGATCGCAATAAGCAAATAGCGGGATTCAAAGTTGTTCATAAAATCTCTTTGCTATATTTAGATATGTTTGGAAATAATTTTCCTCCTGTCAGCCTTTGCCTTGTGGTTATATATTAATATATATTTATGTATTTATAACTTGTGCCGGATGATTAATTTTCTATTTTTATGTATCCAGACTTATGAAGAAGAAAGTACCAGGCAGCGAAAGAAAATGGCCGAAATTCGCAAGTCGCTAAGTCTTAGTCGCTCATCTTTGGATATATATGAAAACCCCCCACCAATGGGCTTTGGGGGACCCGAGTTTGCCAAGGACAAATCTAAGTCTTCCAGAGAATGCAAATTGCCAAGAGACAACCCGGCTCCAGCTGTCGAATACGAAAAATTCAATGATGATGGAGATTGCGTGCCGGAGGGCAACGTCCACAACAGAATGCAGGTAAGGTAGATTTTCGACGCCGTTAGGGGTGCGCTTATGCGAAGGAGTTGATTAGTAGTTTTGAATTGCTTCTTCGGATTGCAGGGAACAACAAGAAATTAAATTGTTGGAAAATCAACATCGACTTTTAATTACGTTTGTAAACACACGCACAGTCTGCCACCTTTTATGGTATATGATGTACTGCATGGTTACCGTAACGCCCCCTTGATAATGTTTAAATGCAACAGAGCACCCCTCTCTTTTAAATATTCCCCTCGGAAAAGTGTGCAGGAAAATTTATCAGAAATGTAGAAAACAGAACACATTTTGAGAGTGTGACTATTAAACAGTTTATGTATTCTGGTTTTTCTTATATATCGTTACGAAAACAGAAAGCAAAATCATTTGCAGTATTTGTTTTGTTATTTACGTTTTTGTAGCTTTAAGATATGAAGAGAACCTCTTTCAATGAAAGCCCCCCTTTCAATGAAAACTCCCATAAAAGCAAGTTAAATTTAAAGAACGCCCCGGGCATTTTTTAAGGATTCGGTAGTTCTCTTTAGGCCGAGACTTATAAATGAACCTCGTGGCGCTCATTTGAGTGGTAGAGTACTCATAGCTGTTTCGCGTACCCCTTTTCGCTAAATTTTTTTTGAAAAGGTTTTATAAGCCCTGCACTTTGGAATCCCACCTGTCTCCCACTTTAAAGACCCTCGTCTTTGTTTTCTCAACTCGTCTGGTTTGGAGACAACTCTTTTTAAATTCCACTTTTGCTTTTTAGCTTTTTTCAAGCAAATAGAAATGGGACGTCAAGCTACGAAGGTTAGAAAGCTTTATATTTTGCACTTTGTTGAATATTCAGTAAAGTCGAACCTCTAATAGTGGCCATTTTGAGATCCAAGGCCTAGTGGCCGTTGATAGGAGGTGGCCGTAATTCGAAGGTTTACTAAAAACATTCACAAGCATTTGGGACTGAAAGTCTGTGGCCGCTATTGGAAGGTGGCCGCTAATCGGAGATGGTCGCTATTAGAGGTTCGGCTGTATTAGTTTGAGGCAAAGACCCCAGAGCATATTACAGATTGATTGAGCTAAAAAGTTTTTTTTTGGGGGGGGGGGGCGGTGGCTAAACATACTAAAACAAAGAGAAAGGCGATTTTTTATATGGTTTTAAGTAATGTTGGAAACTAAAGCCCCCTCAGCCCCCTCATGCTTCGGCGGTCCCTGGTTTGAGGGTTCTTTAGATGGAATGGGGGAAGGAGGTCCCTGCAGGAACTTTCTAACCTAACACATTTTAAAAGCGATGCTCACGTTTAAGGTACATTTCGGTAAACCAACTGATTTGATTTCAACAAACAAGAGATATTCTCTTGTCTCTTGTGTAAATTATAAATAAGTCGAGCGATCAGCTGTTTTCCTTGTTCATGTGTCATTGGCAAATTATCTTGCAAGTGTTTCCCATTTCTCAGAACATTTAAATGTAGTTGACAGAAACTTTGGAAGAATTGTGGCAAAAAATGTTTGTTCCATTTTCAAGGGAACACTGTCCCTTGGGTGCAGTTTGTGAAAGTGTGAAAGTTTATTGATTCATTAAGATTTTTTCGATTTTAAGAACTGTTTTTCGTTTGAAAAACTTTTATACAAAAGTCATGTCCTTTCAACTATGATTGATTTTACATATCTGATTTATGTTCCTTGTTTTGATACGCGTGGCTGTTGAAGCTTGTAAGAAGCAAGACAATGTTTTTTTCAGGAGCGTAAAATGTCCATGAGGAATCGCGTCTTGCGTCAGACAAAACGAGGTGACTTTAGCTCTTAAAATTGTAATTTTTAATCAACCTTAAATTCGCGCTTGAATTTCAATCAAATTTTTCAATTATTCTTATTGATAATAATTTTCTAAATGGGAATTTAGATGCACCTTTTCACAAATTAAAACAAATATAGCGTATTGACGTGTTCGGAATTAAAGGCTCTTTTATATATATATGGCTGTTTGTTGCCGTTGGGAAGGAGTAGTAGCGTAGCCAAGGCTACGAGATAGTGGAAAGGATAGCAATATAAATTTTTGCCACCTCTGAAAACGTTTTAGGCTGTTCTTTATTAATAAGCTTGGTTTATTAATAAATTTGCAAGGCTTGTAGATAGGTTCTCAATTTTTCAAATCTAGAAAAACTTCCAAACAATATGATAAATTTTTATTTTTTGTGGAGGTTACCTTTATGAATTTATCAGCAAAATCAACCTGAAAATTAGGGTCTAATGACAGTGAATTGTGACGGCAGATTCCTTGTACCCCCTGGGGGGCACTTATCTTCAAGAGGACATTAATGTTCGGGGTCACTTGCAATACAAGTCTTTAATATCCTGTTGACCTTTTCCTTTTTGATGTCACTTTTTAATATCCTGTTATCCTGTTACAGGGCCCGCACCACCGATTCTAAAGTAGGGGGGGGGTCAAAAAGGGTGTTACCTATTTAATACCTAAAAGGGTGATTCAATACCTATAGTTAGCAAGAAAAGTAGGGAAGGCCGTGCTCCCCCGGCCCCCCTGTATCGCGGGCCCACTGTTGCCCACAACTTTTGGAAAACCCTGTTCTCTGAGTGACCCAGAAAATTCTCTTTGTGACCCCCGTAGCGACCCCTCATTCCCCTCCTTGATGTTGTTTTTGTGCTCATGCGAGTACACTGAAAACAGAATTCCGAACCGGAGGGTTACCACATTGTTAGTGGAATGCACAGTAACTTCGACCATTTTCTGCAGACCTTGCAGTCATGTACCCGCAAATCCCGCAGCCGTTTCCCGCAAATCCCGAAGCCGTTTCCCGCAGGTCCCGCAGCCGTTTCCCGCATATCCCGCATTTTCACTACGTTGATATTCATCAATAATTCGAATATATTTTGATCGAACTGATGTGAATATAAATTTTTATACAGCCTAGTTTTATATTTAGTAGAGAGTAGTAAATTTACGGGGGTTAAGTATATAATGCATTGAAGTAGACTTTTGCGAAGTTTTCATTGCTGGAATTCCTTGCAGTTGTTGAACATAGACAAACAAAGTGTTAATTTTTTATGCTAACGTTTTGTAAAGTCTCTTCAGCGCCGAATCACTACCCAAGCCCGAGAGGGAGGTGAGCATGAAAGGCCAACGCGACTGAATTTCACCAAAGAGGTCGGGTGTGAATAAGAAATTTGCCGAAAAGATGGTTGTAGCTTCTTTTCAGTAGGTGTGGCCTAAGAACCCCAAGAAATTTTCAGGGCTATTTCAAGATGCAATCAAAATTCATTAAACGGGGTGATTGAACAATCTTCATCTTGGAAATTGTCTTGTTTGATCTAAATTTGGTTTCTATTTATCTGCTGGTTACTGACTCTGTACCCTGGGTACCAGACTTACTCTATAAAATATAAAATAAGAGCGTAAGTCTGCTACCTAGATCTCATATTTACATATTTACATGCAAAGTATATTCCACCTTCTAGTCTATGGCTTCTTTTTTATCTTACCTCTCAGCTATCCCTAGGTACCACAATTCGTGATTTTTTCGGTTTATGATGTGATCGCATGTGCATTGAATAGAGTTTTACCCCACCTTTCAGACATTTTTATGTTCCAAAATTTGAGATCGTGCAAGCTGAGAGCAGGATGCATCTAAATATGTAAATATGAGATGATTTCATCTCACCTGCCAGTTCATGGGAAACAACAGGACAAATATCGGGGCCGACGAAACGTATTTGAAAGTTGAGTGGCCAAATATCAACATTTTGAAAGGGTTTAGGAAAGGTCGCCATAATACCAGTAAGACGCTTATTGACCATTTCTCAATCAATAAACCAAAGTATATTCTTAGTTCTGGGGTCTTAAGATCGGGCAGGGTAGACCATTATATGATATATGCCATACGGAATGTGCACGCGAAGCTTTATAATCATTGTAAAAATCGTTGAAACACGAAGTTTAAGAAATTACGATAAAGCAAAATTCTTAAACGATCTAAAAGAAGTGAATTGGGGGCTAGTGCTACCCCCGTTTTCTGAATCACCAAATTTAATGGCTGATAAATTCCACGAGATTTTTGATGGGTTATTAAATGCCCATGCATCAATTCGGAGAAAAAGATTAGAAATCAACTTGCACCGCGGATTACACCACAAATACAAAGACTTTTGGAAGAGAGGGATAGGGCCAAGAAAAACTCCATAAAGAACTCCAAACTTCTCAAATCTTATAAATATCTGCGAAACAAGGTGACAAACACAATTAGATCATCTATAAGACTACACTACCAATCGTTGATCAATGAGAACAAATACAATTCAAAAAACATGTGGAAAACCATAATTTAGGTGCTAGATAAGGTCCCTAATTAAACAACAATCATGCAGGGATGGCAGCAAAACAATTTGCTAATGCCCTGAATAGACACTTTGTTAATGTCGGATCGAGACTTGCTAGTAGAATCAGTTCGCTTTCCGTAGGCTTCATTCTACAATTACGTCACAGATTGGTGTTTCAGATCATTCGTACTCAAATATCGACAACAAAAAAGCTAGCTTTGCTCTTTTTCTTGACTTGAAAATAGCATTTGATACTGTTGATCATGAGATACTGATCAGTAAATTAGAAATTTATGAAATTAAAGGTAATGAGAACAATTGGTTTTAATCCTATTCAGCTAATAGCAGCCAGTACTGTTCTATTGATGGTCAAATATCTGATATTTTGGAAATAGAATGTGGGATTCCCCAAGGCTCTAGCTTGGGAACCCTGCTCTTTATCATTTATTTGAATGATTTTGAGCACTGTCTTAAACACTCAAGAGCCAACATGTATGCAGATGATACTGAGATAACAATATCCTCAAACAACCAAGCAGAGCTAATAGAGACAGCACAAGCTGAATTATTAAACATTGCAGAATAGATGAGGATTAATAAACTCAGTCTGAATCCTACCAAAACAGAATACATGATAATAGATCATCCTCGTAGAAAGAAACAAGGAGAATCATTACCGCACTTGTTCATAAACCGTGAAAAAATAAAGGACTCTTTGATTCGACCAACATCTAGCATCGATCAAAAATAATTGACAAGATATGTCCTGAGAGTCTGCACGATAAATTTCCTGAAAGATTCACGATAAGCAAGTATGGTACATGAAACAAGTCTGATCTTCAAATCCAAAGGCTAAGTTTAGACTTCAGTAGAAAAAGTTTTAATTACACAGGTCTAAAAACCTGGAATTCTATCCCAAAACACACAAGAGAGTCCAATACAATAACCCTGTTTAATAATGGGCTAAAAGTCGCTTCCTAAGCTGAAGAAAAATATTTCCGCTCGAATCCATGGAAGAACAGTGCTGGTGTTTATATCTGTTTACTCAAATTATCAACTGTATTAATTAGCTTTCATTTGTAATTAGGATTTTTATAATTGATACTGAATGGATGTCGTGATTTTCCCCACGTAGAGCATTTCTTGTATAGACACAAGATGGGCATTACAAAGTTTTGTATTAACAAGATTGCAAATAAAAGAAAAATTTTGAGGGCCCTAAATGTTCCTAACACAGAATAGATTATGGGATGTGACAAAAGCGTCAAACTTTGGCAGCCAATAGACCTTCGAATGCTGATCCCTCTCTCCAACAATAACCGACAAAGTTACTTTAAGCCCGATTTCCATCAGACTGAACAGAAATTAGCACTTTCTCTGGCGAAAGCTTCTTCTGAATCTTAGAAGCTTATAGCGAAACGTCAACCAAATTGTTTTTTTATTGAGTATCTATTTATATTTTTAAAGAACTTTAAAGTTAGGAGCTATTGAATATATAAATATATATATATATATATGTGGGAACACCAAAGAAGCATTGAAGGCTGTCCAGCATGAGCATAAAGATCGTCTGCCAAACATCCTAACCTCCCAAGGATCTTTATTATCACATCTCTTTAACCAGAATCTTCCACAAATAAACAAACTTTGGTCCAAGGTGCCAAGTAGCATGCCTCAGAATATTTTCAATTTCACCATAAGGTACCTGAACAATACCCTTGCCACACAGAAAAACCTGAAAAATGGAACTTGAGCCAGACCTCTGACTGTTTTTTCTGTTTTCTGCCAGAAACCCTCCTTCACGTTGTTGCTGGCTGCAAAACGTATCTGGAACAAGGCCGATACACCTGGCGACATAACTCTATCCTAAACTTTCTAGCTACGTCACTAAAAGCTGTCAATGAATCTACCATCTACGCTGATATACCTGGCTTTCTTTCACCATCAATCATAACTGGAGAAAACCTTCGCCCTGAGCTTCTCTTGAGGACTACCAACAATTACCTCTAAATTTTAGAGCTTACTGTTGGCTTCGAATCCAATCTTAACACAAATGCTACAGGAAAACACAGCAAGTATGCTTCTCTCCTATCTGACTTACAGCGGAAGTTCAAATGTGTCTCTTTTGTGAATCTTTCTATGAACTCTCTTGGCATCTTTGGCAATTCCTGCATCTCCTTCTTCAAAATGTGTAACTCTGTCTCCATCGATCAACAACAAAAACGGTATCTCATCTCTAAACTTTCCAACATTGCCATCCGTACTACGTTCTACATACTTTGTTGCAAAAATAAACCATGGACAAATCCAAAAGTACATCGGTTTTAATTTTGGTTGTTTTATTTTTCTCAGTTTTCCATTTTACTTTACGATTGTTATAGTATTTTCTTGTAAAACCAGGCTAGCCAATTGCAAATTACCTTGTAATAGTGAGATTTGTAGTTGTAGTTTAAGTTGAATTGAAAATGAAATGTTTCCAATAATATAGCAAACTAAGATCAATAATTGCCGGTTTTCTTGTCAGTATCTATCGTGCAATACGTAAATGAACTAGAAGAAGATGTTAAATATATTAGGATACGCGGGGGAGCTTTGTAGGGTAAAAGGGCATGTAAAATATTACGTTATCGGAAAACATGAAAAACTAAAGCGCAACAAGCTAATATATCCTAAACAGAGAGAAGCATATACAAATATAAGCATAAACGCAAGACTGACCTAAAATGAAATAAGTACCTATATTACACTAGCAAAGACCTAACCTCAACCTACCTAAATAAAATTGGTCCCTATTCTGTTTAATGATTAAAATATGTCTTTTTCCTTACCCAGAAAAATATAGAGCGTTGGGAATATTTAAAAATCACGGGAAAAGATCTACAAAGATCTTTCTTAATATGTCTGTTTTCTTTTAGGGACATTTTGTTAAAAAAGCGAGCCCCCACAAAAAATAATAATCCCGCTCTAAAGATCTGCTCTTTCTTGTTTGTTGAATTCATATCTTGTCGTAATTTCAAGGTTTGTGCGTCCTTTTCAACTGGGATTCCATGTTTTCACTCCGATTGCCGAGCCCCCTTGTCGGAAGGTCAAGCCCCTCCGTCGGAGAATTTTTAGCGCCATCACTGGAATACCAGCCGGTATTACTTCAAGACATAGTTTGTGATTGACAGGGGCGGACTGGCTCCAAATTTAGGGCCCGGGCTAATTCGTCAATAAAGGGCCCCGAAAATCAAAAATAAGTTTAAGGGTATCCCCAAAATTGTTTGTTGCATCACTTTTATACTTTTTTAAAACGTTATTGGAATATTGCTATTAATTCTAATTATTAGGCACCAGGGATGTAGGCGTAGGTGTAAAAGATTTACCAAGGGGATCTACAATCCTTAGTCCAGGTCAGCATCATTTTCACTGGAAATTTAATTCTGACGTAGAATGAGGGATGAAAGAAAATCAAGATCAAAAAGCCAAGATCTTATTCTCAAGCGACAAAACCTGCATTTTTGACACACATAACAAATTTAAAATGCAATTATAAAAAATCCTGTCTTGTCTATTGAAGACAGTAAATAAATGTTCTCAGTAAGAAACTTTCAAGAGTAACGAGTCTTCCTTTCTATGTTTAGATGCAATTAATGTCCACATTTCTACGAGCATAAAACT